TGTATTTCAATAAATATATTCTTCTTCTTTGAATGTTATTTCTGAGTTAATGAATTGATGAATGTAGCCGTTACTACGTGGTTAGAAATCATAATGAAGAAAAGAAAATTGAAACTTTCTATGTTTTTACCACTTTTATTTGTAACTAACGTTACTGCACTTTCGTCCTATAAGGACATTTTCAAACACTTACATACGACACTTCAGTAACGTTAGTTACAAATAAAGTGGTAAAAAACATAGAAAGTTTTAATGTGTAAGTTTGAAAATGTATTTATAGAACGAAACTTCAGTAACGTTAGTTACAAATAAAAGTGATAAAAACATAGAAAGTTTCAATTCTCTTTTCTACGATATTTCTGAGATTTTCAAATTCATTTTTGGATTATACCCAATTATAATTCCAGGTAAATCGTGACGAAATGAAGTAATGTTAGATCCCCTTGAGGGCTCGAAAAAAATATGCAATTTCATTTATTAGTTTTTCAGCTGAAATGCACCAATATCACGTTGTGCAGCATAGGGATATAAAATGGTTAAACATCAACTGGTCTCTTAAGTAAGTTGATGTTGATGATGAAATATTTTGGAAAGCTGTGACAAAATAGTTAACTATATTGCTACTATTAAAACTTATTCAAAAATGAAGTGCTATGGATTGATAATGTAAAGATATAAATTGGAAATCATGACGGAGCTTATAAAATGTATAAATGCTCGTCAGAACCTGATAAGTAAAATAAATGGGATAAATATAAATAATGTAAAAATGAACTTGTTGATGTTTCAAAAATAAAAAAAGGCACAAATTCTATGCTAATATAAATGTGAAAGTTGTGAGGATGTATGTACGTATATTTGTGGCTCTTTCACGCCTAAATGACTGAACGGATTTAGATGAAACTTTACTTAAATACAGCTTAAACATCAGAATACCATATAGGTTACAATTTACAAAGGTTTTACAATTTACAAAGGTTTTGTGTGATTTTGGTCACAATGATAAGTATTAAGTAAGTCGGAAAAGTTCTTGCTTCTTGAGAGCTATCTTGGCGTGCGGTGCCTATACCGTTGGAGTTACATGCAGATAATGTACCGTAACATTGTTTATCTTATATAGGCTTAAATGAAAGTCCGCGATAGCATATATCTACCTCTTATGTGACAGACACTATATGCGACGATGCGCCGAGGTAGAGGGGTGGTCTAAGCAATGAAGCGACTCTTGTTTCTCTTCAGTGCGAATAAATCTTTCACTTTTTACTAACCTAAGCAATGAAGCGCCATCGCTGAGAACGCGACCCGAACGCTGGCAGACCTGTGAGGGCAGACGTCGTTGACGGTTGTGTTAGTTTTGCGAAATTCTTTATAGGTAACATAATTCGATTCTCGAAGCTATTCGTTATTTAGTGCAGTTGGCATATTTTTTCAGTTACTGTATTTTTAAAGTATTAGCTGTTGTCCGCTCTCATATTAACGTACAGCCAAAGCTACTGAACCTATAATCTTGTAATATGCAGGTAGGTTCTTTGTATAGCGCAAATAAGCATCAAGAAAGGAAAAAAAATTCCATCTCCCAAGGGCGAAAATAGGGGTTCAAAGATTGTATCGAATTTGGTCAGTTTTGAAGTTGGGAACCTGAAGTTTTAGGTTAATAAAAAAACTGTAACTATTTGTTTAAAATGGTTTGTCACGAAACTTTGTCTAAGCGGGCGAAGCTGCGAGCAACAACTAATATTTTCATAAAATTGATAGATTCAAAAATAATTCTAGAGAGATGTGGACAACTTTCAAAAATAATAACGGTAACAGTAATACACAGTATAAACATACCCGAGAAATGTATTGTTTAGTGAAATACATGTTGCGGTTTTGCCAACTGTTCAGAAAAAATCTTACAAAAAAGTGTAACTTGAATACATATAGACATGAACAATCAAGTAGTATTCAGACCTCGATATTCATGTGAATCTTCACTCCAGCCAACCTTCTGTAAATTGAAAAATGATTCAGATCACCATAAATATATCGCATGTGGATTCTCGGATCTCAAACGAGCTTTTCAAAACGATTGATAGGATAATCTTACTTACGAATTTATCTTGATATGGTGATACGGTTTCTCATAAAAACTGCATCTCTAATGTAAATGTAACTTTGACTTGCTTGTACATTTTTCCTTCTATGTATCTTAGCCCAACAAAGTATTATTATTATCATTATATATTTCAGGCAGCTTTTAACAGTAGGGTTTCTTGTTTTTTACTTTTATTCAGGTTTCAACGTTTTGTATGCTTCAATATCACCGAAATTTATTGTTTAGTTTGTTATGACTTAAATTGCCGTTAGAGTGTTTTTTCAAGTATGTTAATTCCTTATTAAATTTAAAAGTCTAATTTTTTTTTCTAATTCTCTTCCTCGGAAAGAATATTGTATATTGATATGATGGAAAATCTGTCAAGAATTTCGCTTTTTTGTGCAAGTGAAGGTATAAAATTATCGGTTACCAAAATATAACATGCTGTTTATAGAGTTCTATATACTGTTTGTAAATATAGGTCTTCATACTATGTATTCCTCATTAGCTTTCAAGACATCCAAGCTGAAACTAATGAGTATACTTCGATGACCAGACAGATGAGGTTCAGTTAAATTATAGGTCAACATAAAATTTTTAGTCATTTACTTTATTAGCGTACAAATTAAAGTTGATGTTATAATACCCCGCAATAATTACCTGGTTTTTTCCTTTTCCATGATCAGACAGATGAGGTTCCATTACTTTAACTGAGAACTATTTTTCAATATTGATGAAAATATTGTCGATTCTAGTTCTATTGTTTGGAGTGATCTTGGTGTCTATATTGACCCTTTCAGTAAAATTATAGGTCAACATAACATTTTTAGTCATTTACTTCATCGTCCTTCAGATTATCACCTGTTTTTCTCCCGAGACATGTACTAGAACATTATATTCCTTCAGATTAAAGTTGATGTCATAATCCCCTGCCATAATTACCAGGTTTTCTCCCAAGACGTGTGCTAGAACATTATTAACTGTATGCCCAAAATGTGATTGATATATGCAGTTTATAATTTTTTTTGCAATACTATTTCATTCCCAGCAAAGTGTACAGTTTGTTCTGTTCAACATTCAGACAAGTCTATACTTTGAGTTTTAAACATTTCTAGCAAATATATTACAATTAACTCTGTGAACAATGTTTTTTCTACGATGAAACGATTTCTATTCCTTCAAATATTACGAGTCGATGTCATGCCACTCTTAATAGTTTCAATCACAATAAATTCATATTTCAAATTTAATTCATAGAAAAAATGAGAATTAAAATTTCATATGTTTCTACACCTCTTTTATTTGTAACTAACGTTACTGCAGTTTCATCCTACAATACAATACGAATACAATAAACTTTATTTTTATTATCCAATTTGACACCCAACAAATTATTTGTGTGTTATTTGAAGTCCGCCACATTCACCTCCTCAGAGAAAAATTATTTCGTAGCATTGAATTCAACTTGATTTTGTGCACTTCCTGGTGAATCCGAAGATGTGCATTGGCAATTGATGTTCGATCATCCAAATGATAACAAGAGACAACTGTGCAGCCGTCAGCAAACTGAAATATTGGATTCATAATCCTTTCCAATAGATAGCTGATGTTTAAAAAATCTGTTTGAAATATGTTTTTCCGTTAACCAGCTGTCGCACCCCTACGAACGACAACCCTCAGAAGTCGAAACTTGTGCGAGCTAAGGACTAATGAGGTCTTACCTTTCAACGTGTGATTCCTAACACGGGTTGGATGATAGCTAGTGAAAATCGATGGTTAAGCCTGGGGCTTGAACCAGCGACCAACACGGCGATCGATTTGAGTGAGTGAACAAAGCACCCACGTCGAACCGACCGGCTACCGTATTATAGAAAAAGAAATACTATATGGATCCTTGGGAATATTAGCATTGGTGGTAAAAGTATCTGAAAGAGGACTATTGATGATTTCTTGCCAGAAATGCGTGAAAACTGGAGCGCCAAGAACAAAGACTTCCTGATAAACTATAACACCGAATTTTAATTAATACGATGGATCTTGAAAATATCGAGAGCAACAGCCTGATGAGAATATTAATATACATCAACCAGTGAGCCAGATTATAATGTATTTTGATCAGGATTAATCGCTGTTATTGAGTCACATTTGAGATATATAATCACATTTTGAGAAAAATATAGGGTCATGATATTTTACACAATTTTTGTAGCTCAAAAACAAGCACTTTGAATGTCCAAGGCAAGATATCTGTGAAAGTATACCCTCTGTTTCTTCCACGTGAAATTTTTACTTCAATCTCGATCTATATTTGCGACTGTCTGCAGTGTCTGCCTTATTTTCAAGAATGAAAACAATATGAAAACTATTCTCGCCTATTATTTCACACGCCAATATACTAATCGCCATATTAGACTTACCATACCAGCATCTAAAATGACAAAAGATTTAATTATTTATAGTGATCTGAATTTATATAATTGCCTCTCAGTTATACTAAGGGAAACTGGATATTATAAATCAATTGGAAAAAAACTCGAAAGTGTGATATTAAAAAAAGCATATTGATAATTACATGCAAAAATATCTTGACTCTTTTCGTGATACACATAAATAGAAGATAGATTATTTTTATTTAATGTGCCTTACTTTAAAATTGATTTGAACTGTGCCTTATTTAAAATTCATTTGAACAAATGTATTGATCTTTCTTATATTGTACAATTATTATTGTTTTGATTTTTTACATTTACTCTTTTCATGCACAAACATTTATACATATTTTTCATAGCTTTCTCAATAAGACTCATCTTAGAAAATAAAGCATACTATGCAAGTAAATAAGAAACAATTGAATTTTTTTAAATCCATTTTCCTGAGATTTTTGTTATCAAAGTTTGAAGATGATTTTAATTTTTTTTTCTAGGCCCAGAACAACTTTCACAAAGTATACTTAGCTTGAACCAAGAACAAAAATGTATTTGCTTTGAAGCAGCAAAGTCTACATTATCTGCAACAAGATTATATCATCGCTTATTAATATTGAAACGTTATTTCATTGCTTTGAACAGAATACCTCAGCCGATTGAATTTCTTCAAGGAATTTCACCAAGAAAAATCAGTTTAGCATTGAATGAAGTGAAATCTGTCATCAAACCAAAATGCAAAATTGTTAACTTAGATCCTGCTGCCAGTCTTGCTAGAGTAGGCTCTAGAGCTGCTCTTAATTTTTCGTTTGCCTTCCTAAGAAGAGCTTGGAGGTTAAATGAAGACATAGATTTATGCAGCGAACTTTTAAATGAGGCCCTGGATTCTCTTAGAATGCTACCGCCAGCAACACTTTTTGAAGAAGGCAATGTTTCACCGGTGTGGTTAGAAGTAGTAGAAAAGTCGTCAGTGTTCTTGAGGCAGGTTGTCACTGGGTAAATGATCTGTTTTCATGTTGCTTGTTTTTAATATCAAATGTCATTTCAGGGAAGTAACCAGTGATAGATCATATGCTAATGTTCCTATAGAAGATCAACATACTTCTTTGAATTTGCTTATGGAATTTGCCCTTCAAAAGGGAACTCTTAGCGGCATTTTAGAAGTTGTTATTCTACTTCTCACCTTATGGAAAAAGAAATCTCAATTGAATGATAATAGGTAATTATTTTCAATAATTTTTGAAGTACTGCAAAAGTGGTAGCCTATAAAAGTAGTAATGAGTAATATCAATGACTGCGTTTACATATGGCATCCTAATGAAGAATTTCTGAAAAAATTTATTTTACTAAAACCAAAATCAATTCCTGAGTAAACACCATTTTCAATGAACATTATTAATTCGGACTAGCAATGTAGAACCCGATTTATTGAGTCATGTAAACAGCTTGGAACAAAATGAAAATTATTGTAGCAACAAAATTTTCAGAAAGTGTCAGAAAGTGATTTTTTTAATGCTGGCTAATTAAACAGTTTACCTGGGACTCAAATAATACCTCTACTCGCTTTAATTGTTAAAAAAAAAGTGGTGGATGAAATGAGAAGAAAAAATATTCCATTAAAATGGAATTTTACATAATATAAATTTTTGGTTTCTTAAGAGTTAACAAAATGAAAATTATTGTAGCAACTAAATTTTCATTTTTTTCTGAATATATGACATTCTTTAGAAGTCGAAGTAAAATAGTCCCAGAAAGCAAGTATTACAAGCATTACAAAAGATATTTTCTCATAATTTGCCATTTCACAGGAAGAAAAAAACCTTAACTTTCTGACAGCGCTTATGCCAAATTAGGAGCAGTTAGTCGAATGTTATATTGACAACAATGGTAGTTAGGAACAGGTTTTTTACATAATATGTGTAATAATACTTGCTCCATTCAAATAATCCCAAGAGAGTGGATATTAGAACCTCGATTGGAATATCAACGATGTGCTTGTGTAAACGTGGTCAATTGTGTAGTGTTTATCAATAGGTTATTTAATGAAAAATACATAAGGTAGATATGAAGTAATTTCGTTCCAACCTAGGATGTATTAAATTCAATGGTTTCTTTTGTTTGTTGGAACTTTTAATTGCTATATTTAGTGTATTGGCAGCAAGTTGTAGTTTACTCTGCTTCTATGGAAATTTAAACATGAAATATTCCTTTTAAATTTTCAAATTTCCAATAAATCAGCACATATTCTGAGCACCGCATAATCATGCGAGTAACTTAATTATCTGATAAGAGTATTTGATAAAATGGGAAAACTTTGTTATTTAAGGTATGATGCCAATGTATGTGGTGATTTGTCGACTTAGCTTCATGACATGTCCTTTAAATATTTTTATGAAGGGGTGTATTCCAATTTACTCCATAATTTTCTTTGGGGTTTGGGAAGATTTCAAATTGATTGATCCGACAATGTGTCTCCCATACTTCTGCAAAGTCTCTTGCAATTGTTGATATCGGTTTCAGAGTGATGGTGTATTTGCTTCAAGTAGTATTGCTATATCGCAGTTTCAGAGCTTCCACGATTATTTGGTAATCAATTTGGCTATCCTCCATAATGTTATGCAGTATTTCCAGTGTCTGATGTCCCAAGGCTAGAACTAGTGCAGTGGCCTTTTCCTCTTCCGACCAACTGTTAGAGTTGGCTATTGTCTCTGTTTCTTCTGAGGGTTCATAATTTTAATTTTATGTGAAAGTTTCATATCTTTTGGTTACACTGTCCTTTTTGGAATAGGGATGCTTAGTTGGGTGGCTAACAACTACTTTTATATGAACATTGAATTATACAAAAACCACTTTTTTGTATAAAGATGGAGAAGTAAAAAGCCAAAACCTTTCTTTCCCAAAAATTAATCGCTCCTAAAAATATACCCCTTGAAATTCAAACAATTCAGTTTATTTTTATCGAGTGCCTGTATGGAAATTTGAATTTACTTCCCTTTTAGGTCAACTGAAGATGTAGTTGGTGCACCGCTTCTGCCTTTCATTTTGAGATTTTTCAAAATAAAGCCCCTATATCCAGCTTTTTCCAATAAAGATGAAAATGAGGAAAAATCATCAATTACACAAATATTCCTAGATTTATTGGACTTGCCTGACGATGAACTTTGTGAAATAGATCTGAGACAGGCTGCTGTTGCTATAATGTGTCATCTTGATATATTGGCTACGCCACATATTCCTCCACTATCTTTCAATAAGGTATTCAAATATTTGAAGTGAATCGTTAAAATAATATAGTCTTAGGCATTTATAGATTTTTTTCCAACAGACCTCCTCTTATTTCAACGGTCAAAGAGTCTGGGGTTGGGGATGGTTGCCATGGACTGTAGGTACAAGCCCTCAAAATTGCGAATCATTTGCTGAATTGAAAATCAAACAATTATGCTGCACAGAGAGAGGAGTTTTAATTCTGTCCTGTTCCAGAAAGGTTTATTATATGTACTACACATCAGAGACTCAGTGTCCTCAAATTTTAGAAGGTAATTAAAAATTTCACTCTACTATACTAATATCTAATTATAACGTAATAAAAAAGTATTATGTGCAGAGATGAGTTACTAAAAATATTGTTTTTTGCTCTTCCTTCATGGTGAGTTATTTGGATTTTCTAAGCATCGTTTCCACTATATTTGGATCTTTAACCCTCAGGTTTTTTTTATACCAGTATTTTGATTTTCAAACTGTTCTTGAGCAGCAAATAAATACAGGAAAACTTCTACCAGGAATTCTCCAGTTGAGAGGTATGCTGCTTATCCCCTAGCCATTTTTACCCCCAAGTTCTTCAGGACTGATTCAATATATTTTCTTATAATTTCTTATTGAACAATCGATCTGGACGCTCCATTGTTGATAGTTGAATTGCAGTTTCTTTTGTCCAACCTCAGGATGTTTTGTAACCGGGAAATCAAAAAAATTGAGTCCTGAAAAAGTCGGAACATTTGCGGGATTTTCAATTGCAGAAATATCGTTAATGTCACATAGTGTAGGAAATAGTACCGACATTTTATTTGGGTACCTGTTGAACAAGTCTGAAAAAACTAGTTACTTCTCAACCTTTCAATTGTTAGTATCCACAATCACCTTCTAGTGACTTGTTCCGACAATGCAAAATTTAGTCATAGGCCGATATTGGAGGGTATTTTTTCATTTTATTGAATTGCCGCCGGTTTTTCCTTGTAATTGAAGGTTTCTAATTTCCACACTAAGTTGACAAAATTTCTTGTTATCTATTATATATGCAGCTCCTCTGAACTTCCTATTAAGAAAGGATTACTTCATGTTGTGTTGGTGAGTTCAGTTATGCTGCACTACTCTACACTCGCTTGTTACTTCTAGTTGGGCATTCATTTTGTCCTCAAGGATACGGACAATCAATCTTTTCTCACTTTGACCAATGTAGGACTTGTCACTTTCATGTTTTGAGCATTGATCTTCATGACGTTGATGTGGATTGTGTAACCAGATCTAAAGCAAGTTCTAATGTTCAACTTGGAACCGATTCTTCTGATCCTCCTATGAGAAGAGACAGCACTAATTGTGACAACTTTTCCTGTTTGTCGGTCCTCTGTAATGTCCTTACCAATATGTGTCTTAGCAGCTTCTTCAAATATTCATTTTGATGTAGTCTCAAGTTTCTCATTGGGGTTTTCCTTTTGTTAACAAAGATTGAATTCAGCTTTTCAACCATAACCTTTTTTGTTGTATTTTTGAGTACCAGTCATTCAATTTGAATACACAAACTTAGTTTTACAATTTCAGTGCAATCTGAAATAAGTTTCGTGTGTTTAAGGAAAATATTATGGTTTCCTTACACTATAGTGTGTCTTTTGAAATATAAGGGAAATCTGGAAAATATCCGGGAATTAATTATCAGCGACCATGAATTTGGTCCAGAGACTATGTCAGTTCTTTATTGAAGATAGAAATCCTAGATCTTTGAGAACTAAAAATTGACACACATCGAAGTACCTTCTACTCCTCATTTTCCTGAACAGACGACCTGCACAAGAGTTGGAGATCTATAGTTCTACCTGTTAATTATGATTCCCTAATCTAGAGAATTTTTTGTGTCGCTCTTCATTTTTCAACTTCTTTTTTGTAGACTTTGAGAGTCCATTTGCAAATGTACCAGTTTTCTACATAACGCCTCTCTCCAGGAGAGAGGCCACTCCATCTTAACTTTGAATCTACCCCTTTCGTTTCCTTTTTACATACTCAAATTCTTGCGCATCACAATCTTTCAATTGCCAATTAAAGATTGTGTTTTAATCTCTGTAAAATTTTTTGAAATGTTGAGATATGTCAAATGAATTAGTCTTCAATTATCTTCCCCATACTTCTCTTGTGGCTATTGGTACCTGTTTTTGAGTTGCCTCTGGTACACTCTGGTATTCCTAGAACCTTTTCAGTGACTCTATCTTCTTCTTCTGAGCAACCGTCGTTGGTGGCTGCGCCTTGAATTTTCGACAGTATGTGACTCACGAGAAATGTTCATCAAAACTTGGTGGCTTCACTTGCGATAATCTTTCTGTTACAGGTAAGAGTCTCCTCGTTGAAACCTGTGTACTCTGTCAATGGGGTATCGATTGGTTGAATACATGGATTTGATGAGTTGATCTTTCTATTTGTTCACTTCATTTACGTCATCTTGAGTTTCCTATATTTTCCTTTGTCCATTTTTGACCTAGACTTTTGTAAATTGTACTTTGTTGTTCAATATTTCTGTCTATAAACACCAGTGAACGTATAAGGACTACAATCAAGATTTTTTTGTGCATAGAAATCGTTTTTTCCTTTGAATAAAATATTTAAACCTAACGAAAGAAACAAAAAATTTGAAGGTAAAACGTAAGATGAAGATATAATTTTCTTTTGATCATATGTCAAACAGTTGATTGAAAAACAACATAGTCATAATTTTTGAAGAATGTGGGAATATTACCCTGCATGATCATTCATTCTCCTGCATCAGTTCAAACTGAATTGGAACTTCATCATCTATGAAACCGCATTTGAAAAAATCCACTAAAGTGAGTTCAATGGCGACTATAGCAATCTCAATGGCGACTATAGAATCTGACATGGTATAGTAAATCACAGCCAATTATGATTTGTGTCTCCCTTTGAATTCAATTGAGGAAACGTCTAGATATGATAACGGTTATAAAAGGGTGCTACCATGCTGCGAAAGCAATTGTCCAACATTTGGCAAATGAAAATTCCAGAGAAGAGCTAAGGGTGGATGTGAGCCAGATCATTGAATGATATGGTGAATTATTTAAATAAAATAAGGGGTGTTTTATTCACAGTACATATTTATGAACTTAACAATCCATCTGGGTTTTTATTCTATATTTTGTGAGTATCATTATGTTGTATTTAATGAATTACTTAAACACTTACTTCATTGAGTTTGATGTTACTTCATATCTTCATTAAAATTGAGTACTTTTTATTTAAATTTAGGAAAAGTGAATAACTTGTTTCTTTTGGTTTTCCGCCTGTCATTTTTATATTTTATCGTACAATGAATGTCTACATTTAAAATAAAAAATTGCTCGAACCATGATGATCTATATTGTTGAAAGTTGGAAGATTTTGTTGAGTTAAATTAAAGAAAAGAAACAGGAATACAGTACAGTACACATTTTTTTATAATCACATCAAAACAAAAATAGGGTTTTTCATTTTATTCAATTTCTTCTTGAGTGGCATAAGATAAATAGATTAGTGCTTTTCGATCATTCTCATATTGATTTCAATTTAAGAGCCACCGGTATACAGCTATTGGGCATCGTCAGTACCGGGCAGGCGGTCCTTGATTGAAGACAAAATGAGAAAAACCAAGAAAGAACTTGATAAAAATAGCTGCGTAAACGCAAGCGAAACATAAGTAGAACCACCTATTGGTGTGACACCCAAGTCAACTTGCCAAGTTTTTATGTCCGTGTTGGTGGTTTGACCAATCAACCGACAACTGCGGTGGCAGAAATTTGGGAAGCTAACCTGAAATGTCATCGGAAAACGAATCCACGTTTCTAGAAATGATATGAAATCGAGAAAGGATAATGCAGTCAAGCTGCTGGAAAATAATTCCATGAAAATCAAAAGATAAATAGATTAGTACTTTATGATCATTCCCATATTGATTTCAATTTAAGAGCCACGTTGTAAAAACAAGAAAACAAGATAAATTATTGATGACTATCACTTGAAATATATTCAATACATTCTCTTTTGAATTAATTAAATGCTTTTTATATGACTAGGCAAATTATTAAATGCAATCAGACCAGAACTATACAATGAGTCACAACCTATATGTTCTCTGTTGATATAAAAATGTATTACATTTATTTATTACATAACCAAATAATTGGACCATATGTTTTTTTAGAGAAAATTAGAAAGCAGACATGTACAGGAACTTCATGATGAATCAGTTGTCTGATGTTTTGAATAATGTGCCTCTAAATATTAGACGAAATTCATGGTATCAGCTTGACAGGGCACCGATTAACCAAATGGTAGAAGTCAGATGTTCAGTGGCAGAGCTAAATTCTTGGTGGAAAAAACTATCAAACTGAATACAAATCTGTGAAAAAAAATACGAGTGTAATGAGAATGATGAGAAATTTATTTATTTGATTACTGACATGATGAATCAGTTGTACGAGTTGTACGAAGAGAAATTTGTTTATTTGTTTACTGACATATTATAGTCCACTCACTCAAAATACGAATCAGTTTCACAATGAAATGGAAACACTAGATAAACTTTGCAACAACACAGACGAATTGCTGGAGGTGCATTTATTTACTGATGGTAGACCAATGGGGGTATTTTTGACAAATGAAAAGAGGCTGTTTCACTCATTTCATGAGTGCACTGTTACTGCAGAATAAAATTTTGAATAAATCTATTAATAACAGAAACTTCCATATGCTGCGGACTTCATGTGTGACATTGTATATACGTTTTTTACAAGTTTTTTTTCTTTGCGAAAATTTGTTCGTTTGATTGTTGTGAATAAACGTGTGGGTTAGGTGAATAAACTCATCTAAGTCTATTTCAATTATATTTCAATTTTCAGCTTTAAAAGAAAAAGAAATAATTAAAATAGCTACCCATACGGAAGGAAAACATTTTATGGTTCTTACAAATAATTTTGAAGTTTACTCTTGGGGAAACGGAGATGGTGGAAGATTAGGTAAGTTCAAGTACAGAAATTTGGAAAAATAAAACTCATTTCGAAACTGGCAACATAAGTTACTGAACATGTTTATTATTCATTATCATGTGATGATTACACAGGAATCAACCGGAAAGAAATATTCTTAAGTATTTTTACAAATAATTCATCTTCAACAATTCAATAATTATACAGCGCCTAGGAAAATCTAGTGAATGGTAAGAGAGAGATAGAGAGAGAGAGTAGGTTAAATTGTGGCATGTATTTTTTCAGCAATTTTTTTATCAGTAAATGTTCATTTAATGTTTTAAAGTTTTAGAATTTTCGATATTCCAGCGAGTTTAGGTAATCTAATGATATTCAATAACTAACTACAGTTTTCATTCCCAAAGGTAGCCGGTTGGGTAAGCGCGGGTATTTTGCTCCACTTACTCAAGCGACCGCTGTGTGAACCGATGGTTCAAGCCGCGAAGCCGGACGATCGATTTTCACCCTATCGTCCAACCCGTGTCAGGAATCGCCCTTTAAAAGATAAGACCTCGTTAATCCTCATGTAAGTACAGATGAGTGGTTGAGCCTAGCACCACTGATGAGAACTAGGCGGGTCACAGCGGTGGCTGGTGTTAGATCATGAGATCATCTAGTTGACTTGCAGTGAAGGCTGCAGTGAAAAACGAAGAAAAAATCTCGTTTGGCGATCGGACATGTAATATATAGCTACAAAAAAAACGATGAAAAAACTAGAGGTCTGTATTTAAAAAAATTAAGTTGACGATGACGATGAAATCTAATGAACGAAACGTCGCATTGCAAATTATAACAAATATAAAACAGTATTATAAGTTCTTCTGTTTTTTTTATATCATTCGAAATGGAGACGGTAGAGCCATAAAAACGAAATTTGACAATTCCAGTTTTTGGTAAATATTTCGAATAGACCTTTTTTGAATGAGTTGCCACACGACCATGTTTGCTTTTAAAAAAAATTTTCGATTTCGTCATTACGCCAATACCGGTGTTGTTGGCTGTCGATGTTGGGATAGAGGAGAAATTGTAAGCAGTGTTGCCAAGTTTCTCATAAACCTAAGGCTAATGTTTAATTGGGCGATATCATACAATTGAGCCAAACATATTATGAAATACTTTCTAAACGTATACACGCAATGAAGAACTTTAAATACAATATTTCACTATCAACTTTTTATTATCATATTGAGTAGGCATAGGAAGCGTATTAACAGTATCGATTTTGATATAAATTATTATTTTTTCCAAGATGAATAGTTCTTATTCCTGACAAAACTTCGTATTTTCCAAACTACGAGCGAGTAGCCCGTGAAATTTTGTGGAACACCTTACAGTGAAGTGTACTAACAGGATTAATCATCAAATTATCGTGACGTGCCGTACCGATTTTGATACGAATTTTTATTGTAAGGAAAATAAAAAAAACATTTTCCAATCTACGATGAGTACCCCCATGAAATTTTGTGGAGAGGTGTATCAACAGGATAAATCATCAAATTATCGTGACGTGCCATACCGACTTTGATGCGAATTTTTATAATTATGAAAATGAAAAATTCATATTTTGAAATCTACTATGAGTACCCCGTGAAATCTTCTGGAAGACCTTTTAGTGAGGTGTATTGCCAGGGTGAATTGAAAAAAATTCAAAAATATCATGAATATTACTGATGAAATTTCATTTAAAGGCTCAAACATGATAATCAGCATTATGTACCCATTGATTTTCATTTCAATTATTAGCTTACAATAATGCTTTGGTGTTACTTTTATTCAAATTTGAAATAGTAAAATGATCAACTTTTAAGGTGTTTATCAGACATGTTGACAATATGTAAAATTTAAATTTTTACAGCACATGCATTTTCAAATCTTCTACATTATCCTGCAGTACAAGTCATGACAGAGCCGTCGCGTGGTTTGTAGGAGCCCAAGGCAAAGCTCGGTGCCCCTTTCCCTTGGTAAAACCCGTATTTTTGTTCGTTCTAGTTTCGGTTCAGGGAGATAATACCCTAGCTCTTTAGAGGCATTCCATTATCCACCACCTAAGGACCCGCCGTGTTCCGGACTGGAAAACAGGCAGCTATTATAAATACCAGCATCACGGACCACCCACCCTCCACTACATATTTTGTATACATTATATACATATACTAATACTAACATCTCTATCGATAGAATGGCGAGAGAGTTCAGCCTTTCTTGTGCCGTCGTAGAGCGTAAATACGTTTTTATAAGCTTAAGTTTACTAAAGCTTCTTTCGGCACTAGCAACTGTCATGGGTATTGTTAGTAACACTCTTAGCTCGACCCACAAGTATGGGAACAAATCTGTTTGTGGTTTTGATCTTACACAATAGTTCTTTTGGTGTGACTTTGATGTTTTTTGTTTCCATCATCCAAAATCAAACTTACATGTAAAAGTTCATGATACAGCTCAATGCCGTTCATATCAGACACTTTGGTTGTTTCGTCTGTTAAATGTCTTTCAAGATCCAATCAACTTTATTTTAGATCTTCTTTTCCTGAAAGTTGAGCAACATCAAAATTACTCAAAAAATCCCCACACTTTTTGGTGTTCCTTCAACGCAGTTGATCTCAAGTGAGGCCAAAACGTTATCTACTAACTCATACAAAAAACGCGTTTCTGTTTACGAATCTTTTTTCTGGAAAAACAGGTTCTATATCAAGTTCGGCTGCTATTTCTTTAGCTCAGATTACTGTTTCTATATATCCATTCTCTCTAAATCTGTTTGAAAACTCCAATCACTTGTTAAACCTTTCAGAACAGTCTCTGATATCTACCTCTTTCCCTTGAATCAATCAATACATCCCTAAATTCCCATATTGGTATCTGACAGCCTTCCCAATGCGTTTGACACACCTGCTTTAAAGTAAGTGCTTCAGTATGGTCGTTCATTATACACCAGTGCTTTGTTGAACTTGAGAAGATGGTAAAGAGTCGTAAAATACCAAATAAAGTCGTAGATCTAACTGATGATTTTGCTCCATCAGCGATCACTAGGTTTAGGCTATGGCACCCACGAGGAATAAACTCAGCCGAAGGGAATTTGTCCAGTACTCGGGCATATGCATTTTTCATTTTCCTGAGTATAAAAATTCGTATCAAAGTTGGTACGGCACATCATGCTGATTTGATGATTCACCCTGTTAATAGACATCACAAAAAGTTCTTCCAGGAAATTTCATGGGGGTACTCGTTGTAGATTGGAAAATATTAATTTTTCATTTTCCGGAGTATAAAAATTCGCATCAAAGTCGGAGCAGCACACGCTGATTTGATGATTCATCCTATTAATACACCTCATTTAAAGGTGTTCCACATAATTCCATGGGGGTACTCATCGTAGATTGGCAAATATAATTTTCCTAACAATAACAATACGTATCAAAGTCGATACGGCACGTCACGCCGATTTGATGATTGACCCAGTTAGTACACCTTACTGTAAGGTGTTCCACAAAATTTCACGGGCTACTCGCCCGTAATTTGGAAAATACGAAGCTTTGTCAGAGAATAGGAACTATTCATCTTCGAAAAATTAATAATTTGCATCAAAATCGATACTGTTAATACGCTTCCTATGTTTACTCAATATGGTTTTCAAAAGTTGATAGTGAAATATTGTATCTAAAGTTCTTCTCTGCTTATATGCGTTCAGAAAGTATTTCTTGATATGTTTGGCTCAATTGTATGATATAGCCCAATTAAACATTAGCCTTAGATTTATCAGAAACTTGGTAACACTGCTTACAATTTCTCCCCTATCCCAATATCGACAGCCAACACGTCAAAAACTGTGGATGGAAAAATGTGGCTAACTTCACACTAATAAAGAAGTTGCATATTTCTTGAACGATGAAAAAGTCATACAGAAAATCTCGCGAATTTAAAAAAATATTATACGGTATTATATGAACATTACCGAATAAAAAGTTGCTTCAAAAAATACATGTCCTTAATGAACAATTTGAAGTTGATATTGACTCAATACCTACCCTCCATAAAAATTCTGTGATCATATTCTGATAGCCCAATGATAGTTCCAGCAAAGTGAAAACAATATTTCTGCAAACAAAGAAGATACCTATATCAAAAAATAAAATATTGAAATTTTCGTTGAATTTTCGATATCATCCAATAGTACTCATATATAGGCGACTTTGCCATAATTCAACCTCTCTTACCGTTTTCGGAATCGCCGTGCAGAGATTCGAATTTGAATAGTCTAATATAAATGTCCAATATAAATTTCGGCTTAGTCTTCATTTAAAATCGTTTTCAGGTCATGGTGATACGTCTTTCAAAGAGGAACCAACTTTGATAGAAGGACTCATTGAAAAAGATATCGTAGATATTGAATGTGGGGCTTCGTATAGGTATTTATTTTGGAATACTTACTTTTCATTCATTCATTGTTCTCTTCTAGTGCTGCTATTTCTGCAAATGGATCCCTGTACACTTGGGGGAAAGGTTATTATGGACGATTAGGTCATGGTACTTGTGAGGATTGTTTAACCCCAACTTTGGTTGCTGGTCTCTCAGGACAACACATAGTCAAAGTTGCATGTGGCTCAGGAGATGCCCATACATTATGTGTTACAAATCAAGGTAAAAATGTTATGTTTGGTGAATGTAAAAAATCAGGTTATCTTTAGTGTACTATTTTACGAGAGCTTGATTTTTACTAAAATAACACTTATTTAGAGTTTTATGTTTAGATTCATCATTCAAAAATGCTTTTGTAACAAATATTTCAAAAATATCCTACTGACTTGATGAGGAAGTAAAAGTTTAAGGACAAAACACAAGCACTACAGGAAAACACCTGAGGCGCTCTAAGAGCGGTGCCTGTGCGAAAGTAGCGATTTACGTTGGATTTGAATCGATGGAGATTAAATCTATTTGGAAAAACGTTTTAAAAAAGTTTATTCCTTAAACAGTGAAGTTCGAGGTGTACTGAGTTGAACCTCAAAACGATGAGCAGCCACAGTCCTTCGCGTATTTCTGATATGTACCACGCTTGGTGGAGTCAAATGTGCCAAGTCACTTGAAAGTATCTATAGAAGAGGGACAATTCCCCAACCTTTCTTCGATGTTTCAGACTATCAGGGTTGCAAGTGATGTTCGCGTCTCCAATCAGACGGATGGATCTATTGAAAACACTTTCTCAAAACCAGAACATAAATTGCTTCGCTAACCAAGCTAGCGAACTATTGATCATAATGATCTGGGAGTAGTATTAGATCAAGAATTGAACCTTAATGTGCACTGTAATTATATTCAGAAGAAAATAGCCACGATAATTCATCTTTTATATAGATTGAAAAATAAACTAAGTGAATATGCGAAATTAACAATTTATAAATCAATAATAGCACCCCACTTTGACTATTGCAGTACATTACTCTATTTTGTAAGCAATGAAAATCTAAACAGACTACAGAAGCTTCAAAACAGATCCAAGAGGGCAATATTAAGTTGTAATAAACGCACATCTGTGGAATACATGTTGGAAACATTGTCTCTTATGTCTGCTAAACAAAGGATGACACTGAATATGCTAATATTTATATTCATTATTAAACACAATATGTTGCCGAATTATCTGAGTGATCAGTTAACCTACACAAGTAGTATTCATACACACTCCACTAGAAATAGAATAGGAAATTTTTATATCAACAATACTCACACTCACTGGTACACTACTATGACATAACTATGAATGGATTCAGGTCGAAAAACTGAACGGCCAATACGGACAAACTTTAAATGCACTCAGTATAAAAAAAAAACATTTCCTCTGCTGAAACAGAAAACTATATCAAAATTTTGTCATTGACAAAAAAAGACTGAATCCAAATTGCAAGAAATAATCACACATCCTAAACCAACCAAAAGAAGATTAATCTATGAAATATCAATTACAGTTAACCTTGATGTAAAAAATGGGGAGCGATATGAAAAACTTATTAGGGAACTTCAAAACAACCAAAAAGTTGGAACAAATTTCAGTTTACATCAATTTGATCAATAAATTCAATCAAACTATTCAACAAATAGTTCACAATGAAAAATTTCTTCAAAAAATAATTCATCTTGCTGTCACATTCCAAACAAAGAATTATGAAGAAAATAGAGCATATGTTCACGATATACTCAATCAAATGATTAACATGTTTGAAATAGTCAACTCTACCTTACAGTACATTGAAAATTCCATAGTATTCGCAAAACTAAACATTATGCATCCAAGCATAGTAAAACCCACTCACTTATACGCTGAACTTCTTAAATTCTGTTTAAAATCTGTTTTTCCGTTAATCAGCTGTCGCCCCCATACGAACGACAACTCTCAGAAGTTGAGAAACTTGTGTGAGCTAAGGACTAACGATATCTTACCTTACGGTTGCAGAATCATCCCAGCTTCAACCAGATAAATTATCTCAAGAAAAATATCTGGTCGAGGTGCGAATCGACCCCACGACCTTCCGATCATGAGTCGGGCGCACTACCACCGTGGCCAATCCCACCACAATGGAAGTATTGCAAATGATCAATTTCCTCTCAACATTACTTTAGAAAATATCTTGAAATTAAAAAAAAATCATTGACATCGAATGTTTTATTCTGAGAATAACCTTTATTCTTCATATTTATTTACTTCATACACTATTCTACAGAATGAACCCAATTACAGAATAGGGAGTAACAGTGGCATTTACAAATATGTACTTACATAATATAATTTGTGAATCTACAAAAAAAAAATAATAAAAACAGAACTTAAAAAGCAAGTTTATTCCTGTCTATATAATATCATCTTCAGGCGTCACAATACTGAAGAAACAAATTTTTATCATGCTTTTATAGTAATTCGAATACTAATGACTATTACGCCCTGACAAATTTCTACATGATACATTCATTACATAAAATATTTACATTTCTAGGACAACTCATTAAACTGGATACAATAAAAGTTTCACCTGAGACCTCATTTTACCTATTTTTGAGATATATCCTAATCACCAATTTCCTCACTGCAAACTAGATAAAAAAAGGTAACAATTCAAATATATTTGATCATTGAGCAATAATCTCGAATTTTAAAATCTATTGATTTCTAAGCATTCCAAAAGGTTGAGTTCTCTTCCAATTGCAATACGTCATAATCGTGATTGAACTCGTGCCCCTCTGTCAAAATATGTTTTGCAAATGTTGAATTGGTATTCTCATTCAACTACATCAAAAGTACATCTATGCTCTTTTATTTTTTTGGATAAAGTTCTATCAGCTTGGCCAATATAAGCATGACACAGAATTCGTTTAGTCAGTAATTTCTAATTTTCTGAAGCAGATTCATCTAAATAAAGAAAAAACTCAGAGTAGAGTTAGTCAAAATAGTTAACATCTGTAGTAGTACAATGACTGATTTTCCTTTAATGTTACATTAAAATTCGTCTGGTTAGCAAAGGGGCAATGGTCAACAATCCTGAGACCCAACCCGTGTCTAATAAGGACAGTTAAGTTTTTTTTCCATCTATAACCATCTTGAAATCTGCAAGTAATTTACTCTGTGTGGTGTGTGGTTATTTCTATCATTGTTCATTGATATTTTAATCTGAGTTCTCATAAATTAGTGGATCTCTTATTAATTGCTTATTCAATATCACAAAAATACATCTTATTATTCTATTCCAATGAAACTGAGATCTCAATCACCAGGTTGCTCTGCTGTGTCCAGTTGCTGTTTTCAAGGCATGCCTAGTATTATTCGATTGAAATAGACAAAACTCTTGTACATTTACCATTTATTCAAGTTCAGTCTAGAATCACAATAGGAAAACATAAAGTGGACAGGACCTCACTCTCTATATTAATAGGAATATTGCCAATAGAAAATTTTTGAAATAGATTCCACGACCTCATTATTTTTTTTATTTTTTTTTAGGGAGAGTGTATAGTTGGGGAGACGGTGACTATGGAAAGTTGGGCAGAGGTGGTTCAGAAGGCTCAAAAGTTCCAAGGTTGATAGAGAAACTTCAGAATTTTCAAATAGCTGATGTCTACTGTGGATCACATTTCAGCGTTGCTTTATCAAGAGAGGGAAAGCTTTTTACTTGGGGAAAGGTGTGTTCTTTTCTCAATATGATTCATTTTAATAAAAACACATTACTCCAGAAGTATAACGCTATGATGATACCAATCTATTCTGTGTAGATTATATCCTAATACGCCCAACTTAACTGGTGAAACACTTCACTAAAAGAGCGTTTCAGTTCTGTAGTGTGGGAGACGTGTTTCGCTCTATTCAAATTTGGATTCAATCAATGCCAAAAATTAAAATTCTACCTTTCATATGGATTATATTCCAACTTAGGAATATTTTTCAGGAACTAATATTAAATATTTAGTTTTATAGTAATTCAATATTACTGGAGTTTTTTTCCAACACCAAACCGTTATTTTAACACCTCGACAATGCAAATAATAGTCACCAATAAGTATTTTTAGCAAGTTGTAACATGCAGTCATTTAACGTATAAAGTTTGATACTAAACCATTTACTTGAGGGTATTCTATTTCATATGCTTCCAAGGAGTCAATTATTGCTTGAGAATAAATGGAAGCATTGGCAGCATCTAAAAAATATACACCTGCCAAAAAACAGGACTGTTCTGGTTCTGGATTGATAGTCTTAAATAGAACTGCAAAGACACACCTGCCTTGGTTGTCGGATGTTTCATCTNGAACAAAAGTGCGAACAACCGGATGATTTAGTTTATTTATAGGAATATTTGCTTTCAAACACATTTTCACCGTGTCTCCCACGAACATATCTCGTTCCATTTTGGCACGCTTAATTCAAAACCGCCAACAATCGTAGATTGCCGATCAATACCGGAGGACCCTGGTTCAAGCTCAGTTTTTTCTTTATGTGACTAGAAGACTTCGTGTGTTTCAACAATATATCTTTTTTCTGTCCTTCTAGACGATCGTTGCAATATTTGCACATAACGATGTTGGTATTGCCACAGAATAAATACAGAAGCGAAAGCTTTGATGCCGCCTTTGATGTTCGATGGCTCAAAATTCGTAACCTTGAATATGATGTGTATACCACCTTAATGAATAATTAGATAACCTTGAAATTGCTTTATCAGCCAACTGAACTGTAGTAACTGGTTTTGTTCTTGTTGAAATAAATTGATTGATTGATTGAAACAAATCTAAAGAAATGAACTTGAAACGTTCAAGCCAGTCTCGAATATACCTACACAGTAGGTTGAATGAACTGTCGCCTATCAGAAAATAACTACTCCCCCGGCTAATACCACTAAGGGCATTGGATTATATCCGACAGGCGTCAGTGCAGGAATCTTCACAGTTGGTTAGTACCTCGTCCACTAGGTGGAGTGACATTTTGTTGTTCGCTCCAACTTAGGAAGAGGAATGAATTACTCTGGAAGAATTCCGATTTTCAATTATGGAATATCATTGACTTTAGGTCGATGATGGCGACTCTCTTGCACTGATGAGTGGCTAATGAGCCCAAAACCGGAAGTGTGCTGGTTGATGAAAAGCAGAAGATATTACAATCAATATGTAAACTTGGGACACAACATAGGTATCCGTATCCATCAAAAAAATATGTACTAAGAACATGCAAAATGGTTCTCACCATCTAAGACAGCAATTTTCTTAGGGGATCCTTCGCAATTATCATCATCGATAACTTCCAAGAAGTGCTTAGTGGCACTGTGAGGAAATATGGATGGAACTGCATTTTGGAATAGATGTTTACGAGTTCCAGATTGAGAAATGACTTCTTTGGCAAAATGTTTCTCACATACCCTATAGTTTCTATGCAAGGCATGGATCCTTTTACATAATAAATCATCTCCGTTACATAACCGCAGCCAACAAACAGCCTTAAAAAACATGAACAAAATATAAGTTTATTTGCATTGGACATTTCCAAATGATTATAAATACAATGTTCAAAAAGCTGCGTTGAGATGATGCTGTGAAATGAAAATTATTAACATTTGCCTACTTTGTAGAATTCTCTGGAATTCTGAACATACTTGTATTTTCCCTAGTTTTTGTAAAACAACTATGAACAACACAAACTGTTCCTCCTTTGCGAAACATTCTTCTGTGTAAAAGATATTTCACCTATTCACAAATTTTATTATATTCCAATAGTTACTGAAATAAAAGTTGTAAACAATAACAAAGGAAAGTTGAGTGAAAAGTGAGGTTGAAGTTAAAAACCACCTGAAACCGCACATGCGTATAAAAACTAGGTTCTGGCGAGAGGCCTAGCTTTCGCATCTGTATTTAATCTGTGGTATCGCTTAAATACAATACATCTTGTTGAAACTCATTCATTCTATCAATTAATTCCTTTTTATTGCGTCCCATTTTAACGTAGATACTTGTACACTTAAAACTTATCGCACGCTCGCCTTTCCAATTAAAATAATGTAACTGCCAACGTCGTTGCGATGCAATGGAACAAACGAGTGGTGATCGGCGACTCGCTGACTGAAGAGTTGAGAAGGGATAGGCGGCGTGCAGGCGAGCGCGCCCGCCCAAAATGTGCTTACTGTAGATGAATAAGGAATAAAATAAAGTACCTACCAGTAGACACTGGTAGTATAAAGGCACTCAAAGGCCAAAATATTATAGGTATTGCATGTGGTTCTACTCAAAGCTTCGCTTGGACTAATGTGAATTCATTTCAAACTAAGACTTCTCTACCATATATTATCGATCTCAATGAACAAACCTTCAAGTGAGTATTCAAACTGAATTTTCTTTTAAAGGCACTTCTTTGTTAATTTTATTTTTATTTTCTTTTTAGGTTAATTGGCCAATTACTTTCACTGATTCTATCAAATAATAATCCTACACAAGATAAAGAATGTTTAACAATATCTACGTTGAAGCTGTTACAGCTACAAGTAAGAGTATGTTCCATAATTTGTTCTCGATGCTCCTAATATTTAAATTTTAGCTGCATAGTATTATTGGCAATAACCTAGATCCAAAATGCGTAGGTTTGTGCCCGGACGGTAATATGGTATCAAGTCTGAAATCGTATGTAGTATATTTAGCCAGTGGTGCGAAAATTTTACCAACTGTTCAATCTTCTGCTCAGGCCACTTTGCAAACTGGATGGTCTGTTTTACTTCCAACAGCCAATGGCAGGGCAAGAATGTTATCATCTCTCTTATTGAATACAGGTAAGTTTGAAGTACCTCATATAATTGAGATCCACAAGGTTTGGTACTACTTCTGTTATACATTCATGTACCATAAAAACCATTCCTTAATATTTCCTTATTTGTTCAACTAGGCGGAAAACTAACAGATTCACTGCCGCGGCTAGCATTTTATTACCTTGGCAATGAAACCAGCCAAGGAAGTAAATCCTGCTGTGTGAAATGTAATATCGAGGTTCGAATAGGTATGAGGTATGAGGTTTGAATAGGAGACTGATAGTTGAGAAAATATTGAATTACGTCGTTAAAATTGGCGATGAGAACTGAACATTTTTTTAAAGAATATCAAAATCAATGAATTTCAATAGTTCGGACTTCCATTGTCTACTATTTGAAATCCCTGAAACAACTAAAAAGAAGAATTAAAAATGAATAGCTGAAAATAACAATTATATTAAGCAAAAGAAAATAAAAATAAAAAGTTGAGAGATTCCAAGCCACGTTAGTTCACGACGTTTCGATTGATAGTTTCGACTTCTGAGGGTTGTCGTTCGTAGGGGTGCGACAGCTGGTTAACGGAAAAACAGATTTAAACAGATATGGAAACTGTTATGTAGGGAAATCAAGGGAAAAATAGCCAACTCCTGCAAAAACGGTCATCTGCCACTAAACCGGTGAAGTGGAAAGAGAAAAGAGGAGATAAGTGAAAGTATACGAATGACCTATAATTAGTCATCACTAGGAGGAATTAGTCCAGTCATCACCCGAAGACGATTGTGGATACTAACAATCGAAACGTAGTTAAGTAACTTGTCTTGTTTTTTTTTTATTTTTTGTATGATTTTTCTATTTTTTACTTGTATTTCATTTCAGGATTTTTTTGCTTAATATAATTGTTATTTTCAGCTGTTCTTTTAATTTTTTATTTGTATTGGTTCTTTTAGGGATTTCAAATCATTTTGACAATGGAAGTCCGAACTAACGAAATTCAGCACAATTTTTGACTAAGAAGATTGTGATTCTATCGTAGTCACAGGTGTCATAATCAGTATTTAGTAAATATGAGTATAGCGCAGGAAAATTAGCTTTCATAAAGTTGTAATTTTATGTTTCTGTGTTGTATGAGATATCAGAGCGACACTCATTGAGGTCAATTGAGAACTTCAGGTAAGGGTGGTGTTTGTCCTCCGGAACAAATGGTAGAGTATCTCTTTCAACCCAACAGTTCATATTGGAGAATATAAAGTCCAGTAAATTACCGAATTCATTGAAGATCGTGTTATACTGTCTGATATTTAAGAAACTCGTGAATTGATTTATATTGGATAGCATTACCTTATTTGCAAATTCGTAATATGCGTAATAAGTTGCTTCCGTAGAGATATTCTAATAACTCCATTGTCTCAAGTAGGTTTAAAAATTGCAAAACATTTAGATGAAACAAAAAATTTTTTGATAGAGAGAATTTCTTGAATTTTATAATCAGAGAAAGCATGTCAAAAGCAATGAGAATAGAAGAAGTACAATCAGAAACAATAAAAGTTAAAATTTTGAGAAAAGTGTTGAATTTGATAAGAAATCATAGCGAAATTTGAAATGATTCCAATACAAAACATTTAATAATATTGAACATGAATTAACGATCAAAGACGATGAAAATCTTTAGTTTGGATTTGAATCGCTGGAGATTAAATCCATTTAGAAAAACGTTTTCATAAAGTTTATTCCACATAAACGCAGTTTATGAAAGAATCCTTAAACAGTGGGGTTCGAGGTGTACTGAGTTGAACCTCAAAACGATGAGCAGCCACAATCCGTCGCGTATTTTTTATATGTACCACTCTTGGTGGAATTAAATGTGCCAGGTCACTTGAGTAGGTACTTCCTGTGAAAGTATCTATAGAATAGAGACAAATCCCCAACCTTTCTTCGATGTTCCAGACTATCAAGGTTTCAAGTTATGTTCGCGTCTGCAATCAGGCGGATAGCTCTTTTCTGGATGAAATCCAGCAGTTTCAAGGTATGCTTAGGGGCGAAACTCCATACATGAGAACAATACTCAAAAGACGGTCTGATCTGAGCTCTATAAAGCATCAAAAGTTGCTGAGGTTTGTAAAGTTTTCTGTTTCGAAACAACGTTCCAAGCTTTTGAGAAGCAGCCTTTGCAATTATAGCGACATGATTGTGCCAAGACATATTGGTGTCCATTTTAACCCCCAACAAACTTATCGAAGCAGAAAGCGGAATTGTCTGTCCTGACATTATTATATCCGGTTCGGGGAAAACCGATGCCTGGGTTTTTGTAGCATTCAATTGAACCTGGTTACTTTCACCCCAATTCGAAATCTCATTAAGATATGCAACCTCCTGCTGCCGGTGAAAATGTGCCTCCGTAGCCGATGTCCTGGAATCCATATGGAATGACGAGACAAGTGTGCTGTTGTCAGCAAAGCAATATAGTGGATTCTTTTTTTTTTCAATAAGTCATTGATATACAAAAAAGAGAGGGTTGGAGACAAAATGGATCCCCGGGGAACACCACCGTTGATAGTAAAAGTATTTGAAAGATATCCATCGACGGCCATTTGCAGGGAACGTTCTTCCAGGAAACTGGATAGCCATACACAGAAATGATTCGACAAGCTATAGCATCGAAGTTTGACCAGCAAACCCCCATGCCACACACTGTCAAAGGCCTTAGAAATATCAAGCACAACAACTCTTGATTCTCCATGTTCCTCGAAAGCCTTCCAAATATTTAAGGATATGGTGGTTTACGGCTTTTTCCATGATTTTTGATATCACTGATAGCAAAGTGAGTGGTTATTTGAAAGATTTTTCTTGAATTTCTGTGAATAGGCTGAACTAGAGCAATTTTCCAACAATAAGAAAAAAAAACCTTTCTTGTGAGATAGATTAAAAAGTCTGCAGAATACTGGTGTGAGTTCATTTGTGCACTTTTTAAGTACAATGACGGGCACTTTATCAGGCCTTGATAGTATTGAGCTGTTTCAAAATTCGCCTGACTCGACATTGTCGAAAAGTAATTTCCGGCATTTTGTATTCTAGTGTGGCTGGTACCTTTTCCAAAAAATCGACTGTGGAGTGGGACGCAAATTGTTCAGCTAGTAGATTTGCTTTTTCTATGGCTGTTGTTGTAATTGAATCCTCCGCTTGTGTTGGTGGTGGAATTGCAGATTTTGTAAAGTTTTGATTAACAGCTTCAGTTACCGACCAAAAGGATCTATACCCGTTGGGATTGGCAAGCAGTTTATCCCTAATTCTCTGATTGTGAAGTTCTTTGCTTTCATTTATTGTAACTTTGCAACTGTTTAATACCTAGTTAGGTTTTCGGTACTGGGATTTTTGTCCCACTGCCTTTAGGCGAGATTTTTGGAGGCGACAGATTGCTCGCAATTTTTATTGAACCAAGGTTTGCCGATAAAAGTTCGTTTCATTGAAGAGGTTATATATGCATCCATGGATGATAGAATAACTTCCGTGACTTCAGAAGTCAATGGATCATTAGAGCTGAAACAAACATCTAACCTGGGGAAATTTCGGAAATGGTCTTCAAGATCCTTCCACATAACAGATCTGTAATGCCAAACTTTGCGCGGCTTAGATTGTTACCCAGCATTTATGGGTAATTCACTCAGCACTGAAATGAGTAATGAGTTTGGGGTCAGAAGATCCCAATGGAGACCTCAGGGTGACTGTGTAAATTTTTGGATTGGTTGTTAGGTTTAGATCCAGAAGACTAGCATTTTCAGGAATCCTTGTTGGCTCATTTATAACTTGAGTAAATCCGCTGCCTATTACAAAAGCATCAGCTTCGCAACCTTGTTTGTCATTGATATTTGAAAATTTGAGCCATTCAATATCGTGGATATTGAAGTCACCAAATATGGAAATTTCGGCACTAGGATGATTGATTTGCAGAAAGTCGATGGTGTTTGCAAGTGAAGAGAGTACCCTATATTGTGTATCGCTTGGTGGTCGATAAACGCAGCATATGAATTTAGTAATCTTCTGTGATATTAGTTTAATCCACATAATATCAAAACTTTAGGGGTTCCAACATTTCCTCTCTTCTGATAAAAAGACATATTCCAAAGTTACGTCTTTATCGGGAGTGGAAATCATAGACGGGATATAGAAAATTGACGGAGTTTTTTGTTCAGGTGATGACTGTCATCACCCGAAGACGATTGTAGATACTAACAATCGAAACGTCGTGAAGTAACTTGGCTTGAAATCTCTTAGTTTTTCATTTTTTGTTTAAATGTTCTATTTTTCACTTGTATTTTATTTCACTGTAATTTAAGATTTTTTGCTTAATTTAATTGTTATTTTCAGCTATTGTTTTTCATTTTTTATTTGTACTGGTTCGTTTAGGGATTTCAAATCACTTTTTATAATGTTAGATAAATGATAGTCCGAACTAATGAAATTTATGTTTGTTCTGATGAGTCACAGAATATATGGAGCTCAATCCGAGAATGATTACGAATGATTCACATGATTTGAAATATGTAACTCGTTGAAAGAATGGTGCATATGAAATGGAACCTATTTTGAATAGCTATCATACGGAACCCAAGTTAACTTTTCGAGCCAAAGCCTTTGTAGAAGGCATTTTGCAACAATAGTACACGGAGCAAGTAAACCTAGAGGATTATAACTTTGAGCTATACTAGAGAGAATTGTTCGTTTAATGACACGAGAATTATATATTATATAATAACAGATCTAGTTTAGGGGACCATAATAATCCTAAGGTTTTGGAAGGTATCTCAGAATCAAAATACAATATTCCATTAGAAATAGAACCCTGCATATGCTCCAAAGTTTGAACTTCATTGGAGCATTTGAAGCAGCCTTGCTATAAAATAAGAATAATTTGTAAACAAAGATCACGAAGTTCTTCAATAGAATCTGATCCTGTGAAAACATCGTCCACATAAAAATCTGAAAGGATTATGCTACAAGCAATTGGTTAAAAAGCTTTATTTTCCAATGCTAGTTGCTGGAAGCAACGCATCGCTAAAAAGGATGCCGACACTGTACCATATGTGAAGGTATTTAGTTCTTATTGCACTAATGTGTCTGACGGATGAGAACGCCAAAATATTCTCTGAGAAGATTTGATAAGAACTTATCTGTACATCTTACATGCGTATGGTAAAACAACATAAGAATACTGCCGATTTCGAATGAGTATATCAAAAAGGTCACTTTGAATTTTATGATCAACCATTTGTATATCGTTGAATGGCCCACTGAAGACGTAGAAGAAGAGCCATTGAAAACAACTCTGATTTTGGTCGTTGTACTTTGTTCTGTCAGAACCCCATGATGGCACTGCTGTGCTGAACTGTAGACATATGACCTAAGACAATGTATTCTTCCATACATTTTGTGTATAAATCATGGGGGTAGTTGTTTCTCTGCAATCTGGAAATTGAGGAAACGTCTCCTCCTAGCTTGCTCTCTGGACCCCCCTAATTTGTCAATACACTCCTTTAGTGGAATGTGGACAGTAAATCTGCCACTGAATTCTTGAGAATGAGTAGAAATGAATGAATACTCACAAGCTCTTCTTCTGAGAGAGCTCTTTCTAAAGAACAATCTTCTATTTCCCAAAAATGCTCATTAATCTTGTATTGCAGCATTTTGAGAAAATCGGGCAAATTCGATTGTTTCAAATTTTTACCATGACGCAGTTCTATGTAAGTGTGTCCTCACATAAAAACGAGATAGACAGTAGAAGAAATTTTGGTGAACTATCAAAAATATATATGGAAATAAATTGAGAATATTTTCAGCTGATGACTTTCATGAACATTTAATTACTATTTTTGATAAACATTAAAAATGAAATTTGATGGATTCGGCTGATAATTGATGAAAATCCAAAACGTATTCAAGAAACACTTTATTGTGAGATTTTCACGTGTTTTGCCATACAATGGCATCTTTAGGCGTGTCTTCACTCACTGTTTTTAAAAATGAAAACAAAGAGCCTTGTATGACATAGGGGAATACAAGATTCGTCCAAAAATATCAAGTGCTTCCATTTATCAAGTACTATACCAATTATAGAAATATTTATAGAAGGCTCGTTAAAATTGCGAAAAATTATTTTTATAACTATAGGTTATCAAATACACAAAACATGCAAAGAGAAACGTGGAAAATTGTTGATGAGTTAAGAGGAATAGTTTTTGAAATAGTAGTTCTTATTTCAATGCATTCTTTGAATCAAGATAGCTTTGAAACGACATGTATTCTACTTGTTGAAAAATTTCTTACTTACAGTGTTTCACGTTATTCAAAACATTCACTGAATTATTACCGTTGAAAAAGAAAACTTATCACATTTAAGAGCGGATAGATATGACTTTAACGATTGATGAGTGTTTAGAAAATTGTCTTTTGGCGTCAAGGGTGTGTGCCCAAAAATATCCAGACCAGAGTCACCCAAACAAGTTGGTTTTCAAACTATTGCTACATGAATTTCGTAGGACTGGAAGTGTAGCTTATGAAAAATCAAATAGGCAAAAAACCTATCATTGGAAATGAGTAAAATAAATTTCTCATTATGGCATCAATCATAGAAAACCCTCATACGAGCCAACGTAAGATCGAGAGAGAAACAAGCAGAAGGAGCATTTTTAGGGTAATAAAAAAATACAAATTTCACCGTACCATATTAAGATGCACCAGATATTATATGAAACAGACTTCCATCAACGAATCTAGTTTTGACTATGGGTTCTGGACAAGTTTAGTGAGGATGAAAATTTTTTTGATTCCATTTTATTTTCTGATGAATCTACTTTTCATAACAATGGCATTCCAGATCATCGGAATAGACGGCCTGTTAACGTGTGGAGAGGAATTTTAGGTAAACAAGAATAGGATTTACAATTTTTACCAAGATGATCTGCCTGAGCTTTTGGAGCATGTGCCGCTAAATATAAGACAACGGTTGCAGTTACAATTGGATGGAGCTCCGGCACATTTCAAATTCAGTGTCGGACAGTTTTTGAATATGTGCTTTCCGAATAAATAGATTGGTTGGGGAGGAATGCAAAACTGGCCAGCGAGATCACCAGATTTGACTTGCCTCGTTTTTTTTCTATGGGGATACTCGATAAACGAGGTTTACGATACTCCTCCAACCACAATGGAAATTATAAAGGAGAGAATAAGGGCTGCTTTTTGAAGAGTGACGCCTCAAATGTTATTTAATGTTAAACAATCTTTCATAGTATAGAGAGAGTTCAGGAAAAAGACTCATTGAATAACAACAAAAATGTATAGTCTGTTTAATGAACTAGTGTCAGAATATGAATGTAAATGATAACTTCATTTTAGTGAACAGTTATAACGACAGTCATGATAATTATGTCGTTTCACAGTTATCTTGATTCAAAGAATTCATCGAAATAAGAACTACTATTTTAAAAAGCCAATATCTGAAAAACTATTTAGGTTAGGTATAGGGAACCCCAGAATGAAATAAAGTCTAACTGTATTTATATTGTTCAAATCAAAAAAGTACAGGGTGTTCTATTTGAAATGAAAAAGTTATCTTTGTCGGAGATTATAAAAAAAGTGACAATGATTTTTGAACATTCTGTATGATATTGAGAAACGTGTTTTATCGAAATCAATAACCCAAAACCTCTTTTATGCTTGGTCAGAATTTGAAGGAATGATTGATTTCTATACATTTCTTTGAAGGTGATTGACAATGTTTCATGATGAATTTCACTAGTTCGGACTTCCATTGTCTACTATATAAAATGATTTGAAATCCCTGAAACAACTAAAAAAGAAGAATTAAAAATGAGATAGCTGAAAATAATAATTATATTAACCAAAATAAACCTGAAATGAAATAATAGTGAAATAAAATACAAGTAAAAATAGAACAATTGAATAAATAAAAATAAAGAAATGAAAAAAGAAAGAAAATAAAAAGTGAAGAGATTCCAAGTCACGTTAGTTCACGACGTTTCGATTGTTAGTATCTACAATCGTCTTCGGGTGAAGACGATTGTAGATACTAACAATCGAAACGTCGTGAACTAACGTGACTTGGAATCTCTCCACTTTTTATTTTCTTTCTTTTTTCATTTCTTTATTTTTATTTATTCAATTGTTCTATTTTTACTTGTATTTTATTTCACTATTATTTCATTTCAGGTTTATTTTGGTTAATATAATCATTATTTTCAGCTATCCCATTTTTAATTCTCCTTTTTTAGTTGTTTCAGGGATTTCAAATCATTTTATATAGTAGACAATGGAAGTCCGAACTAGTGAAATCTATACATTTCGTTATTTAGTTTCCAGTTGTACCTAGCATTTTCATAAAAAAGTCAACAACTGAGGAACGGTTATATGTAGTTAGATACTAAGTATCTTATATGAAGTTATATTATTTTTTCCTGACCTATTTAAAAGTGTAACAAAATACAAGGTGTTCCATTTAAAAAACATAACTTCGATATATCACACTTTTCTAAGCCATCCTGTAGACTTCAAAATAATTTTCTTTTGCAGTCTTAATCAATTTACAATTAATGAAATGGAGAAATTCTCGAAAAAATCAATGGTTTGGTTTACAGGGATTGTGTCGTATTGGGTGCCCCACCCTGTATACCTGGAAACTTTAGCCCTTTTCTGTATTGCCAACTTTTTCCAAACTTGTTGAGTAATTCATGCTAAACTTTCTTAACATGCATCAAGTTTTTAATTCCGACCAGTTTGTATTCAGAACATCATAACTTGTTGAGCAATTGATACTAAACTTTCTTGACATGCATCAAGTTTTTCATTCCGACCAGTTTGTTTCCAGAACATCAAAGAGCACAAATAATGCAATATTTTACGATCGAAAGGTCTTAAGATTGATCACCACTTCGACCAGTATTTTTCGGGAGAATTCATCTAGATGAAGTTGGGATGATTTTACAACGTAACATGGCTGACGGACGACAAAAATGGCCATGATGCTCCTTAAATTTGACAAAGCGTTCGACTGAGAATGCTTCGTGGATTATAACTGAAAAAACTCCATCCATAATGTTCTATGAATGTTTGATTCTTGTTTATCATACCATATTCAGAAGATGAACATCAAAAAAATTAAATAATTAAATATGAAAATTGAATTAGGAGTACCTCTGGTGTATATCCTCGACTCACTGCTGTTTTCAGTGTATATTGATACCTGGCTGATATTTCTATGGAAGGTGAATTTTCAATCTTAGCTGATGATGGATGAGTAGATGTGTGTGGGTTCGTGTGTGAGTGTGCACGCATAGATACACATGTACATATTTTTACAGTTTCTCCAAGTTTCTAGAAAAACTGCAGCCTAGTGGGATTTCTGCGTTTTCATTTGGTAGGACACTCTAAATCTATTTTGTACATACTCACATTATTTACAATGTTAACTCATATACTTTGTGACACTATGCATCATATATCTAATTGTTTCATTTTCTTTTTCAAAACAACCTTCATCATTGCTTAGTCAATAAGAATCATTCTTCGGACGATAAATTTTGTTGTAAATAATCGCCGATTTCAATATCGGAGTTTTTTATTTATTGTTATATTTCACATTGAAACCTAAAACAGGTGTTAGGTTTTTGCTGGTATTAGATCATTTATTTGTTCTTTAATAGAAGCTAAAATGGGGTGTAGGTAATTTCGCTGGCTGGGCTTTGAAATTTCTAGGAAATATGAATGAATGAGTAAACATAGATATTATGATGAAAAGATCATAGTAATTTTGAGTTTGCAGAAAAATGTACCAGTATGTTTAAACATACCTACAGTTGATATTACATTGAAAAAAATATTATGAACCAGAACATAAACATTTTATCTTACGCTGAAGTTAATTCTGCACCTTAATCAGATGTTATTTATTCGTAAAATAATTTTTCAGATTTCGAAAACAAAATGTGCAAATCTGGTCACAGATTTATGATTGATTTGTTAGTGTGGAGTTTGATGGCAGACGGAGGGCTTGAAACTGCAGTGGATGATGCTCTAGGAGTAGATATTTCAAAGCTCGTCAATGTTAATGACAATGTTGAACAATCTTCAACACACATAACTATCCCACTATTGTATCTCGTGAGACAATTAGTCAGGTTGGAGTGATAGTAATTTTATATACAAAAATTTTGATCTTTGTTTTTAGGAATAGTAGTAACGTTACTCAAACAAGGTTGAAAGAATTGAGTGCCACAGGAAAATTCTCATCTCAGAAAAATCCACCTTCTCCTAGTATAAGACTGTTACAACGGTTTCAGAGGCTTTTAATTTCAAAAATTTATTCAAAGTCACAAGATTGTCAAGACGCTGCAGAAACGCTTCTGATAAAGTATTTAGATTGTTTCAGTTGTCATGTATCTGCAACCCTGAATATGACTTATGATATCATTTTGATGAATTCCAAAAATGGTTTGAGTGCCTTGCAGATTTTGAAGGAAGATATTATCGGTGAGTTGCTTTTGTATTATTAAAATATAACTGAAAATAATAAAAATGATACTTTACTTGAAATGTATCTTGCGATGATTATGGTTTTGGGCATTTTTTAATAAAATAAGAGTATGTTATCATCTCTCTTATNATGAAATAACTGTGAAATAAAATACACGTAAAAATGAAACAATTAAACAAAAAAAAAAAATAAGAGATTCCAAGCCAAGTTACTTCACGACATTTCGATTGTTAGTATCCACAATAGTCTTTGACCGAAATAATTATTGCTGAACAATTGCTGAACAAAATTAGGGTGCTCTTTTGATATGAAGTCAAAATGAGGTGAAAAAATAAGAATTTTGAATACAATAAATTCCAGTGTATTTGGGGTATAAAAAGATAAGTTTTCACCAAATTTCGTAATTTTTTTTAATAATAAAAAAATAAAAACTTCGTTATCTGAATTTTTCACATAAATTTTGAGGTTATGTGAAAAAATTGTAAATACAAAAGTTTTAGATCTTTTTATTACCTACATCTTTGCCTTTTACTTTTTTCCGTAGGGCTTGTAGTTTTGCCGGAAATCGAGATAAACCACTTTTTACCCTTAAAAACTCACCACCTTCCACTTCCCGAACTTAGATTGCCTGTGATTTATTTTTTCTTTCATTGTTATCATATTCTCCTCCTTTGCTAGTGGATTTCATTATACTATTATTTTTTTTCCTTTTCACCATTTTTGAAGGCTTCATTCAGCCCTGGTCTATTTCATTAACTAAGTTGGAATTTTCTGATGATTGGGAAAAGTCCTTGTTTTGGATTTCACTTATCTTTTCTAATCCATATTATTAATTTACGTCCATTTCAGGTCACAATAATGTGTTTTTTTACAAATCAATTTCATTATACTTTTATATTTCTTACTCATTGTTCATTTCCTCTCATATTTTTGATGTGATTCTTTATTTTTTCAACTAACTCATCTAAATATTTCGGTCCTAGTATTTAATAATTTTCTTCTTTTATATTTCAAATCTATTACCACTTCTTTAGACAATGAAAGTCTGAACCTGTAACATTCATTCTGAGCTTAGCTTTGGTTATCCATAAATTTCTTGCCTCATGGAATACAGTGACATTTTCTCCAGGTGTAAAGAGTAGCCTTGTAGTTATTTTCTATGTTTTATTGACCAACTTTCTGATCTGGTTCTGTCCCAATAATTTGGTGCCACCCACATCTGATTCAGGGCCCATATGTGGTGTTTATGATTTATGTTTTGCACATTCGTCGGCTTTTTCTTTCCTGTGATTCTTCAAAACCCTGTCACGTAATGTAGTGTCAATCTATTATTTCGCTTGTTCTATCAGTTCTTCACAGATTCATGGCATTCCCACTCAGTTCCAATATTTCTTTTGGGATCATCAATGCTCTGAGGGCTGCCTGACTGTGCGAGTCTTGAATTGCATTTCTTTTATACTCTAACAGATTGCATCATACCCTTTCTTTAGGAATATGGATGCAGATTGAGAAAGTGGATAGTTGTATATAAGTTTTAACCCGCACGGTATTTCTGCATCATATTATCTTGAAAGAGACTGTAATTCTTAATTTAGGTATCTCATGTAACCTTTGGAAAAAACACAACAAATTGTTTTTGCAAAATGACTTGATCAACAATATCAATAATTGTCCCATTAGGTGATTACATTTGACATTATTTAAATTCCAAATTTGGTTAACACAAAAATCAAGTTTTTTTCTGAGGGATATTTCAAATAGGTTTTATATATTTCTCCATAAATAAGATTCTTGTTCCTGTATTATTTTTTTACAATTAGGGAAAAACCTGGGAAGATCAAATAAGTTTTAATTTAAAATACTGAAATATTTATTTTGAATTTCATCTTTTAGAAAGCAACCTTAGAAGAATAAGATATGTTACTTTCACTTTACTTTGAAATATAGTGAGCCAATATTGTAAAACAACTTTCCCTTGAATCAAAATCAAGTGATTTATTTTAAAAATATATTTTGATTTATATGAGTTGCCTTACTGATGAATTATCATAGATAAGTTAATGAAATAAGTGATGAGACAATCAACATCCAAGAAGAAATACATATTTTTACCCAGCTTGATTGATTTGAGTCCCAAAATTTTTTCTTTTTCTTTTTCTATTACTGTCGAGATGAGTCCAAAGTCCTGGCTTAATTAAGTACTTGCCTAATGAACCCTAATTAGCTAATTTTCAGTAAAATCAGTAATCAGTCAATTGTTGGTAAAGATTGTTGTCAAGTATTTGATGAATAGATCTTTCTAAATCCTCTACCATCATTCAGCTTCAGAAGATAGAAAACAAATGTCTACTTATAGCATAATCTTTAATATATTTTGTATTTTGAAGATAAACCCTGACATGAAATAGTGTATTCATAGATCTATGGACCATATATTTAAGATATCCATATATTCCATAACTAAATCATGATCTTTAAAATCTCAGAAATCACATTGAATATATTTGGGATTACGCTGAACACCATTTCTGCTATTATGTTGAATGGGAATGGGATTATAGTTAATACTAAAGATGGTATCCATGACAAAATATAAAGCAATATAGTGAATGGTAATGCTAAGATGTTTGTCATCTGGTAATCTGAAAAAAAAACAATTTTTTATCCTCCACATTAACAAAAGTTAAAGATTACATCAACGAAAGCGTAATTTTAAGAAAGAAAATATAAAATGTTTCGTAAAATTTTAATACATAATTATTTCTGTAATGATGTAAAATATTTGAAAACCCGAAAAGAAGGCTAATAATGCAAAAGTTATTAATCAGACTATCTTTGACTTATCATTAAAACGACATGAAATAACATATGGTGCCTATGATAATTGAAACATGGGGAATAATTACATGAATACTTTAACAAGAACTGGAGCGCTTATGCTAAAAGAATTCTTGTTTTATTGGATGATTCCACATGCTTCAACTTACAAATCATTCTCATAAAGGAAAACAGAGGTCAAATTCTAATTGAGAGTTGTTTGTTATGATTTATAAAATGGCTATTCTGTATTTATTGAAGGCTTTTTCATATTAATTGACATTATCAAATAATGAAGATTTATTTGTTGAAATCATTCAAAGCTACAATAACTACTAGTCAAATAATAATAGCTGCCTTCAACTAGATACTTTTATCATGAAAATTCAGTCAAATTGTAACTGATAATTCTTTGTTACGATTCATAAAATGGCTATTCTGTATTTATTGAAGGCAAATTGAAATTATCAAATAATGAGGATTCATTTGTTGAAATCATTCATAGCAACAATAACTGCTAGTCAAATAATAATAGCTGCTCAACTAGATCTTTTTATCCTGAGAATTCAATTAGTTGAAAATGGATTGATTCTACCACGTTACATGGCTGCCAGAGTTGTGAATAATAATGATAATCCTTAGAAAGCTCGTGGAGTTAACATGAGCTACCCGAAGCAAGATGTTACTGACCATAGATGTTAATGCTATAGTTTTTCACCTGCAAAAAACTCTGCCTACTTAAAGTACTCTCATGATTGATTATTCATAATTCTACTATTATTATCACTAATATATTGTAGTAAACAGTTCATCAGAGTTTAGTTCATTTAATAGATTTACAGTTCAATAAGCCAAGAAAATATTCACTATTCAAATTATTTTCTTGATTATATTTTACTCAGGTGGAATGATATTCGTGGATTGGGTCTTCTATAGACCCCATAGAGGGCGTCTTCGTAAGGAGAGATGTTGTCACCTCTACTTACCTAGGCTGGTCATTTAAGGACAGTTGAGTCCAGCAGTGCATTAGTGTTTGGCCTGACATCACTGATGAGAAATATGGCAGATCGAAACAGTACAGTCTGGTGTTTGTTCACGAAAGTTTTGTTTTTGTCTGTTTTCGAAAAGTTGCCTTGCAGTGAAAGCGGCTATGAAAGACAAAGGACGAATGTCATTCGGTGCTCGATGTCGAAGCACTGCCTTGGAGAGCCTCGTTCATCTACGATATTCTTATATTGTGTCATCTGTCAATCTCATTTATGGCGTCTTCGTAAGGGAAGGCGTCATCACCTCTATTTACTTGTGCTTGTCCTTCAAGGACAGCTGAGTCCAGCAATGCGTTCGTGGTTCAGCCTGTCGTCACTGATGAGACCTACGTAGGTCGAAACAGCGCAGTATGATTTTGGATCACAAATACACTGTTTTTGGGCTATGATTCTATTACAGTGAGAGCTGCAAGACAGAGGACGAATCTGATTCGGTCGTCGATGCCGATTTAAAATGCAGAAATGAACTGCTTTGAATACCACGTTTATTTTATTCGTGAATTGAATCTTTTGTCGATCCCATAAATGGGGTCTTTAGTAAGGTTAAGTGTCATTGCTTCTGCTTACTCATGCTTGTCCTTTATTAATAATGAAAAGTGGTAAGAAATTTATGTACCTATTAGTAGTCAACTTTCTGAACTTATTATGATGTTAATTTCATTTTTTTCACAGGTAGTCAGTCACCTTTGTATGTTTACACTATTCTAAAACACTTAACAAAGAATATATGCAAGATACTAATGATATAGCAAGTATGCAAACAAAAACATTTTTATAAGCGTTCGATTTATATAGTAAACTGAAGTTGGTTCCGAATAAAAAAATGAGTCACGTGACTAATTGATATGTACTGTTATTTGTAAAACCCAATTTCGTAAGCAGTATGGCGATTGCAGCCGATCACATAGGCGTACTTGGCTATATTTTAGTTTTATTTCTATTTTCGCAAAATCCAAATTTGGATCACGGTAGTCCAGAATTGATTAGAATTCTATCAAAACAAAACATCAAAAAATTGTTAAAAGAAATAGTTATAATACGAGTATTCACAAAGAAATATTAATTATCAATATAGAAAAAGTCCTCAATTCACCAATTAATGCACATATAACTCCTACAATAATAAATATAAATAGCTTCATCAATTCTGAAAAAAAATCAGATGAGGAACAAATAAACAGATGAGAACAACAATCCAATAAAAACATCCCTCCACACCTCTGACTAGCACCAAACACAATCCGATTAGACTTGGTTGTGTTAATTTTGAGATTATGAAGCTTTGGTGTTACTACAAGATGTTCAATATCATCAAGTTGGCCAGAGTTACATTGTTTTGATAGAAAGACAAATACATTTGCCATAACAAGACTACAAGTATATATGCAAAATAGTGAAGGTCCGAGAATCGAGCTTTGTGGTACTCCATATTTGATGTAACCTACTTTAGATTTCCCTATTGGATGTTTCTACAAATTTTGATTGGTTCACTAGATAATTAGAAAAACCAATGAGTACAATGTTTTGAGTCATAAAATTTGATGACTGATCTTTTTGAATGCTTTTGTATAATATGAAAGTAATAATACTCTCGTATTTTACCGATCTGTTGCTTCAATTATATCGTCTGTGATTTACAGAAGAGCAACTGTGGTCTTTCCAAATCAAAGGACAAGTAGCTTTTTATTCAATAACTCATTTTTTTTTTCGAAACTTTTGATTCCCTAAGTAGCAGACTAATAGGTCCTAGATCATAAATTGACGTTGAATTTGAGATTTTTGGAAGTATCAGAATTTTAAATACTTTCCACAAATCAGGAAATACATTCTCTTGATCCACTGGTTCTCTATTCAATCTCTAAAATATATTTGTATTGCATGGATTCAGTAACTGATTCAAATCCTGAATCAGTATTTATATTATTTTTGATATCGGTATAATCAAGAAATTCATCCTGTGGGACAAAAATATTCATTGATTTCAGAAGGATTACTCAATGTGTAGGGTTAAATAATTTTCTTTTGAAAAGAATGAATACCCAATTCATTAAGTTTATTCCACAGCACTACATTACAAAGATTATCACTGACAAACAGGCGGCGCCACACCATCATTTAATGTAGGCAAGGTACATTTCGCGAGGCCTTCTGATGGCTCAAGAAGAAGGGTTTATATAATTACAAACAACACTTGAAATTGAACAATTTTTCATTCAATAAGAACATTAAACAATAAAATTAAATAAAAAACAACTCAAAAATAATAAAAAAACATCACACTGCGGCTATTTACCCAATGAGACTTTTAAAATGTACCTAAACACGTCACGTCTGCTGTAAGTTGCCGATGAGTTGGTCCTTTGCAGACGGTTGTGGTTGCGGCATCAAGTGAAAGTAAAAATGTACCTACTTTGAAAATATTGAATATTTATTTCTATCAGTCAAGTATATGTTATTGTTAACTATATTCAAATGCATAATTCCTCTTCGAATTGGTAATTTTTCAACGGTGATTTTCACGAAACGTATCTAAGAACCATCCCAAAAAATTTGCTATTAAATAAAAAAACCGCATCAAAATCGGTCTACTACTATAGGAGCTATAGTGCCACATATAGACACACAGATACACAAGTCAAACTACTGAAACCCTTTTTTTGCGTCGGGGGTTAAACATTAAAAAACAACAATGAATTAAAGAAACAAAAATTTTTCTACTTTTGGTTTTACAGAACTCCCTAATTATTGGTTCGTAATTTATCTTTGATGCTATATCTGCTCCAATGGATAAAACTGCCAAAGCTGAAAGTCTTTCTTGACCCATTGTATTTCTTAAATAATATTTTATTAATTCATATTTTGAAAAGCTGTCAGCGGAAGCAGTAGCAGCTATTGTTAATAAAATTCGAATGAAAATCTAAACAATTAGGTAAATTTCTCTTAAATTGTTCTCTGTAATCTGCTTGTCTGTTAAAATCCGTTTTTCCATGCGAGCTAAGGACTAACGAGGTCTTACCTTTAAACGTGTGATTCCTAACACGGATTGAATATATTGTAGCAGATATTTCACATCTTTAATAATGGAGTTTTCTAAGTGTTGATAGAAAGACATAAATCTCGAATCCATATTGCTTATCACAGAATCAATCATGGTATTTAAAAAAATGTTTCATACCGGCTTTTCGCAGATTGTATAGGTTTATCGCTGCCTTCATAATCAAACATCCTGTTCTATTTGGCGATCCTTTTATCATTGAAATCTTTTGGCAAATCGTAACTGCATTTCTCAATAAACTGACGAGCGTCAGACAAGCATTTTTCGTATCCAGTCAAAAAATGTACGTAAATGTTAAAGATTAAGGCTTAAATGGACTTGTACAGATTGCCAATCCTTGCTTATGGAATTGACAAGCGTTAATAAAGATGAGAAAAATATGAAAATATTTCAATAAATATTTTCATAATAAAATATGGTTTATCAGAAAAAGAAATATATTCACGAATATTTCATCCATTTGCTTTCGTGCGCCGAAGAGTGGAATATCTTTTGGTTGAGAATTTTCTAACGTATTAATTATATAAAAATTCATGACGTGTATTTTTTGATATTTTAAAGTTTGAGACGCGAAGCCCTTTGCACCGGGAGGCCGTGGGCGGTGGCCCACGCCTTACGCCGCCTCTGGCTGCAAATATGCTCCTTTGTCGTTCCTGATCATTATACTCGTATTTATTTTCGATATCGAAGCAACTTGTAATCATTCCAATGCGAGTTATTTTTAGTTCTCTTGAATTTAGCAAAGCCTTTGCTTCTCAAAAATTTTAAATTTCATATTACCGTTGAATCGGAGTTTTTTCTTCAACTTTTTTGGGGCTACACTATCAAAAATTAATAATAACAACTCATCAAAATGCTGAAACTTGATATGTATATCCACTGTGTAAAAAAAGTAATCAAATGGTATTAATACTAAAAGCAAATGCAAATGACCTTTATAAATTGATTTGAAGTAAAATATTGTTCCTCAACTGAACCACTATCATGATTTATTACACAGAAATTCAATGCCTCCATAGTAATTCCTGCATAATATATACAAGCTCTCAGTTCATGGTAAACCCAAAGATTATGCATTAAAAAAAATTATTGTGAGCTAAAATGGAAATAAAATTGAGAACAGAAAATTACACTGAGGTCAAACTGAATTCAGTTGAATAAAGTTTTTATAAACAATGAACAAAATAACTAGAATATGCAAATTAATAGAAAAGTGAATAGAGATTTCAAATCCTGTTATTCATGTTTCGATAAGTATCCAGAGAGCCCTTGGGTGGTGGCTGACTTACTCTCATGGTGCCGTATGTTTTAAAGGTCGATTTTGCGCGGATTATCTGTTTGATAAACAACAATACACGCTTACTATCGATAAAGGCCACTATGCAGGGCTAACTTAAGTTGTTCAACATCCTTTGAAACTAATAGTCTTCTCTGTGCATACACTTTGCAACAGATATCTTGAGGTGTTGGTGATTTTTTTAAGTTGATAGGAGCCGACCCTAATCGAACAGAAATAATTCTACTCAATATACGAATATGACCAAACTGAAAATGAACCTTAATTGTCATAACTGCAAATCATGAATTTGACAATAAACACTCTTTGTTCTGCGAGTTATTTTGGTGAAATCAGATTGTGGTGGAAACATTTAGAAAATATCAAAAGAAGAGCGTTCCAAGGAAAGCATATGAAAAAAAATTAAAATGTCTCTCTTCTTACGATGTTCTCAAAATAGCAGCGTTACTGTCTCATAAATAACAATTAAACTAAATTTAATGAAATTTGGAAATGTATTTAGGTGCTGAGTTGGAATGCATTAGTGTGTTGTAATAATATAGTCAAATTATACATTAGGAATTACAGATCACCAACTAAATTGATGATTATTTAGTTTTCTTGTCAGGTGTCAGGTGCTCTAAAATTCAGTAATATTTATGTGGAAGTTATTCATATTGAATGGAATATTTTTCAGGGATACTACTACCCGAGCTAATTACGAGCCTCATCCTCCTTGAACAAGAAGTTAGTATGTTTCTCACTTCACTAAACTGGCTAAACGTATTCATTGAAGTACTGAAATCTCTTGACAAACTCTGCCGGCTGATGCCTGACATACAATTGCATGATCTGGATGATATTGCTTGGCCAGGCATTACCCAAACTAGACCAAACAATATGTCACATAAATTAAATGAAGAATTACCATTGATTAGACAAGCTGATCTTGAAAATCATAATCTAGATGGAGGTCGCTGGATAGTCATCAACAATAAAGTATATGATATTCAAGATTTTAGGTGCGACAACCCATCAGTGACAGAACTTCTACAGAAACACCCAGGCAAGGATGTCACTCATATTTTAAATAGTTGTCCTCAGAATGCACAGTTATTATCTTTGATGGATAATTATGTAGTTGGTAATTATTGTCTTCCTGAATTAGAGTTACATCAAAATAATGTAGATTCTCTCCACGTTTGGTTTATGTTGATGGACGTTGAAAGGAATCTAGGGTATTTGCTAGGTTTGCATGCATACAATTTGAGACAGAGCTTGTCGTTGACACAAGAAGAAAAATCATCTAGTCATTGGCTAAAATCTCCATTTCTGAGTGGTGGTTTACAGGTAGTGAGTCAAGTCTAAGAAAAAAAACACACGTGTAAAGTCTTTATTTTAAGATTGATCAACCGCCAAATCCTTACGAGGAAGAGAAAGGCGAATCTCGTAGCACCAATTCAACAGCAGAGAATACTCCAACTGAACCAAAAGTTAATACAAGTCAAAAATCATTGAAAAATGTTCAACCGCCAGAAAGGGTAAAAGCCTTTATTAATGCGTTAGCTGAAAGCAGATTGTCGGTGAGTCTTTTCCTAAATTTTATACAGGGCAGGTCATAAAACATAGTAAAAAAAATAAAAGGACAGAGGTCTGAGATTGAAATTAAATAATAAAATTCATATTATGTTAATGGAAGTTATACGTACCAACAGATATTTTTGTGTACAGTTTATTTTATGTATTTTGCTACAGCGAAATCGCAATATATATATATATATATACACTCAATTTCTGACCATGCTACAGCGAAATCGCAATATGACCAGACCTTGCTCTTCCATCCATCCAAATATCTCCGTTATTTGTAAAGCTAGACAAATGAAATAAAAACTTTATTGAAAGCCGGTAGAATGCCCTTCTGAGATCATTTTTGAAATCATTGTAACCATTGCAGTTCATAAGAAACCACAACCAATTTTGTTTTTTCAAATGGCATCTCCAAACAGTTTCTACTTTGTTTGGTTTGACGTGTTACACTATCACATCATCCTTGTGATGAACTGTTTGGAACCTTTGGTGTAGTACTGAATATTACTGACGTTCTATCCCAACACTAAACCGTTATTTGTAACACCTCGACACACTAGTTTAATCGCCTAGTTTAAATACGTGAAACACGTATCAAGGTGTTGAAAATAACGGTTTGGTGTTGGGATAGAACTCCAGTAATATTTATCACATCGTCGACGTCAAGCTTTCTTTCAAAAACCAATCCTATACTTTAGTTTCCAAAATTACACCTCCAAAGAATGTATATTCAATTATTGCAGTCTTCTGCCTTCAGTCAAATACAGCAACAAAAAGCATTCGGAAGTACGAAGCGTCAGTTCACCATAATGAATTGAATGTCAGTTCATCTATTCCAGTGCAGTGGACAAAGATTGAAATAGAATTTATAACAATGCCTTTGTTATTGACTACTAACGAATATGTTGACATGGTGCTTATGTATGGAAAATCTTGGAAGAATTCTCGCAAGGTAGCTTTACTTTAATCATATCGTGAACGTTTTCCTCTTCGTCATTTGCCATCACATGTAACTCATCGTAAAGAAGAAAAAAATAACGCTCTGTATCAGCACCGGCCAGGCGAGAAGAAATTTTTTGGTATATGCTGAAATAAATCCACATGTTTCAGTTCTAGTGTTAGCAGAAGAACTTGGAACTTGGGGTTCGTAACAGAGAATTTAAAAAACAGGTACTGTCCTTGCAAAGTTCATTTGGCGCACGCTTTATGGTCCGAAGATTTTGAACGAAGGTTAGTATTTATTGGTTGTGTCAATGATATGGTACATAATAATGTCGTAAAGATGCTGGAGTAATGAAAGAAGGTTTCATAATGGAGGTGTGATCAACATACACAACGCTCGTTACTGGTCGAATCACATTGGATAGAAGAAACTACAAACAAAATGGAGTGTGAACGTATGTTATGGACTTCACAATGGATACCTCATTGAGTCATATTTCTACATTGGCACTCGCACGTAGTTACCGAATATCTTGAGTTTCCATATGCTGGATGGATAGGAAACGGGGGTCCAATGACTTCACTAGATTTTTTCTGTGGGGTTGTCTAAGAAAAATTATATATCCAGTACCTTCAGTAGATTAGTAAGATCTCAAGAATCGTATCTGTAGTACTTTCCATGTCTTCACTCCAGTTATGATTACATTTGTCTGCACTCGGGAACTCATAAAACAATATGAAGCTTGCCAGCTTCAGGTTCAAACATATTTTGTAAAAAATATTTTCCAAGTTTTTTTCGTTGAGAACAACCCGAGCACTTCGACTGTTACCTGATCGCCTTTGATAATGTCTACCGCAGTAGTAGACTAAATGCCAGTCACAAAAGCCTGTAGACCACGATCAATAGCTTCGACATAGTTATCTCCGCCCATGAAAGTTTACACACTTTGATATTTTGTAGAGTAGGTCAATAATTTTTTTGAGATATTTAGTTGAGAGTAACTGTTAAGAGCATTTCGGGTATGAAAAATATCACCTCTCTGTATTTTCATTGACAAGTAGAATCAAGTGAAGTAAAAAATTGTTAGGGGTGCCATTTGAAAACAAAGTTTCATTGAAACTGCAATGGTTACAACGATTAGAAAGATTATCTCAGAAGATCATTCAGACGTCTTTCAAGTCCGTCTTTGTATCATTTTCAAGATTTAAAAATAAAGTAGATATTGCTTGTTAACAAAATTCTGGAACACCCTATATATCTGAATAATTTTCCAAATATTAAGTCATATCACACCATTAATAACAATAATATAGAAGAAATTTTGCATAGTTGGTTTCACAATTAGTTTACTTATAACCTCAATTCCTGCTACTTATTGGCAGTTTACAGGAACTTATTAGATTCATCAGCTCAAGGTGAATAAAGGAACACATGACAAAAATATCCATAAAAAATAGTTTTAAATTGAAATTGAAGCAATTTTTAATGTGTATCAGGTAATTTATTCATTCAACTAAAATCCCAACAGATTTGTTGTAAATTTGATTTGAAATATTAACAGTTTTTTGGAACCAGCAGCCAGATGAAAGGTGGAAATCCGTTGTATAATTTGTGCTGACTAAACATATTTATTGAAAACAGAGTTCTGTCACAAATGTAATATGTGTAATGCCCTGTATATATGTATAATAAATAGACAAAAATATATGCTTATAATTTTTTTCTTAGGACCCATATGTAATAGCGTTTTTGGCAGTAGTAGAACAGCATTCAAAGGCAAATAATTTCTTAACTAGGGTGGACTTTTCATTTGAGCATCCTATAGAGGAGATCGGTAGGGTACTTTATGCAGTTTTATTGAAACATTTAGGACTTGGTTATGTTTTGCTACCTATTTTAGAAGCATGTAAGTTTTGATTTCAATAAATTATGATTTTCATTCATTCATTAAATGTAACTACTTCAGATGCAGTTCAGCCTAATGTTAAAATTCCTAAATTAGTGGGTGAAGTTATCAAATGTGTACATCAAACTAAATGGAATTTGATCAAAACTCGCCAAGATGCCAACAAAGGATATAAAGAAATCTGTATACCTCTTCTCGAAAAATGTCGCTTTCTGCTTTATGAAGTCAAGGCTGCTGTAAGTCTTGAAATGGAGGCTTTCAAAAAGGTGAATGTTTTATACAAAGAACCAAGAGTTAGAACTTTGGTGAGAAAAGTAATAAAGGATCTGAAATGTGGTCGACACACTTCAGAAATACAGAAACCAGAGGATATAGTGAATGCCACAATTCAGTCACAAAGTATTGAACGTCACAAATCCAGTGAAGACGTTAGCAAGACATCAATAAAAAAAACAAATTCCGATGGAAAGATATCCGAGTCGAAAAGTGACACTGATGATGTGAACAATGAGATAAAGAATGGCACCCACAAGGTATCTGCTGAAAGTAGAGTCATCACAGATTCTTATCATTCAAATACTTCCAAACCTGACCAAAAACATGCCAAAAATTGTACTGAAAATAAGACTGAACTAGATGAGAAATGGACTGTAGAAAAAACTGAAAATGCATCGAGATTAGAAATCAACCAAGATCGAGAAAAAAAGCTCGAAAATCAAATTATACTAACTAGTATAGTGTCAAAGCTAAATGAGAAACAGATGAAGAAAGTTTGTAGCGAGAATCTTAATATAATGAATATGGTATTGGAGTTTATTCTTCAATCAGAATATGATGTGGAACTACTCAGGAAAGTTATGTATAATCAGGTAAGATATTGATTCAACAAAAAATGTCATCATTTTATATTTTTCAGAGACATAGAACTTGATAAGATGATATTTCTAAATTAATCATTTTTTATTATAACTCGTCTCTGACATATAAAATTAATCACTTTTTAGTATAACTCATCTCTGACATATAAAAAAAAAGATTCTAGGTATTATGATTCGCTTTATAAATATTAAAAAAGTTATGAGAAATTATTATTAGATCTCGTCTCTGACATATAAAATTAATCACTTTTTAGTATAACTCATCTCTGACATATAAAAAAAATGATTCTAGGTATTTTGATTCGCTTTATAAATATTAAAAAAGTTATGAGAAATTATTATTAGATGAGCTTGTGATATAACACTAAACAGCATTGTTTCGACTCGTCAGGGTCTCATTAGTGGTGCCAGGAGGCTGAACCACTCAACTGGCCTTAAAAGGACAAGACTGAAAATAAAGTTATAGCTGAATTATAATCCCGCATAAATATTGAAGTTCTTGAATATACTGTACCTATTCTCGAACTCTTCAAGATTAAGTCCGCTTGCCATAAAACTTTATCTTCCTACAATTCTCAACTGAATGGGCACTTTTGATAAAGGGTAAACAAACAAATCATCGTCGTTTAATCCATATTGTATTTTGATTCTTGCTTGCACATTTAATATCCTACTCTGAGGTGGACAAGTTACTATGCCTTGATTACCACTCATTGTGCATCCTGAGTGATTCATTCATCAGTTTCTAAATTTTCCTTCACTTAACAAACGTTTGTAATTGAAATTGAAATTTCACATCATTTGTAGAAAATGCCTTTGATAAAAAAATCGCTAAAAAAAATTTTCACTTTTGAAGTGAAAATTAGGATTTCGGCTAAAAACTCAGGTTTTCAACTCATCAACACAGTTTTGGATATTTTTAACCCCGATTCACTCAAATTCTTGCTTGGTTATCAAATTTCCGATATTTTTAGAAACAAACTTGTTCTGTTCCAATGACAGTTTGAAAATTTTTCAGTGGAAATATCAACTTCTCACTAAAGCTCATCGAGATTATATTGGAGGTGAATTTTTCTTTCCACAACGTTTTGTTGGTATTAACGTATTTTTGTTAACAAAACTCTCTTGTCGTCTGCCCGCAAATTTTTTTCAGTTCTAGGTTCATATTGGTTGGGTAGAAATCTATGGAAGAAATAAACCCCTTGGATACATTATGTGGGGTTATATTTTGATTCTGATCGATCACCAGAGAGCTGCTAATAATTTGAATAGTCTAAAATATGAGGCCTAAGATGGTTTTATGCAGCTTCATCTTTCATCTTCAATTTTATTCCCAATTTACCTTCTATAAAATTTTTGTTAAGATTAAACAGATATTTTATACAGTACTTGAAATTTACTACGCAAGAACACTCATCATAGTTCAACATATCGCCTAATGCTAAAAAAACAAAGTCAACATAACCTTGTTTAGTGATACCTGTTATCTCTAACATAGGTTGAATTTTGCAGATTGTGAACAAATCATACAATACAATTACTTCAAATGATAAATAATGCATATGTATTTTTTTTAATTTTGACAGAACTGTCAGGGTGCGCACGAAAGCAATTTACAATTTTACTACGAATATTTGACTTTCCTGAGTAAAAATTGAATTATTTGTCATAGAACCCCTACAAGTTTTGTAGCATAAATTTCTCTACTACAAATCAGTTCACCTTTGTTGAAATTCGTATTGGAAATGTAGATGAAAGGTCATGTTACACATATCTACATAATTCTATCATCCCATTCAGGTAGTCAAGTTAATTGAAAGTTTTTTGTGGTTACAATTTCAGTCGGTAAAATTGACATCTGGTATAATTTTTTTATTCTATTATATAATTGATATAATTTAAAATTACAGTTAATTTCTTTGAAGTAATGAAATTCAATCATTTTAGGTTAAAAGGTGCAAGATTCGCAAAGATGGTTTACAAATGATATCATACCTTCTGAACGAAACTGGTTTTTTGAATTCAGTAAGATACTCAATAATGAATGGTTATCTAGGTTTGGATAAACAGGAAAACATGCACCATTGTCTTGATAATATAGATTTAGTTACCCCATATTTAAAAACTGAAGTTATGCTTTTGCAGTTGAAAGTAACTGAATGGTGCATTGAAACCTTAAGGAGTTATATACTGCGAGATATTCCCAATAAACCCGGAAAAACGAAAGGAACCAGTGCTAAAGTTCATCTTAATTTAGGTACTTATACCTTGCTAAGAGATGTTCCCAGAGCAAGAATGCTGTTAGCTATATTGGGAATACTTTCTTCAAATCGTTATAATGCTCCAGAATTAAACCCACTTGTTAATAGCGGTGTCATAAGTTCTGTTTTGGGACTCTTAAAACAAGCCGGTTGTGACCAAAGTATTGTGAGGAAAGTTTCAGAATTTTATGTATTGTATGCTGACATGATCGAGAATAGCAAGCCTAAAACTAGTTGCTTGTCAGGACCAGAGCTAGCCGGTTTGATGAAATTAGGAACAAGAGTTATAAGAGGAGCTGATTGGAAGTGGGGAGATCAGGTAGATTTTTTTTTGTTAGTAGATAATTAAAAGTTCCTAATTTTATGAAAAATATGATACTCTTTTAGTAATGCATTATATCAACATGACTAATTACTTTCAAAATGTTAAAGAAATTGCCCATATTTTAACTTTACCCTGTTTGTTGTTTGAGAAATTGGAAACTAATTAAGGTTTAACTACCTGCATCAGAATGAAATAATGTTCATGACAGTTTTCAAACTACTAGTAACCACTTATTTTCACGAAAAATAAAAACCACGTTTGTAGAATGAACATTAAATAATCGGTAATAACGTAAACAATAATATCAGAATTAAAATAAATCTTTCCCTGATCATGAGATAAAATCTAATTATAGTAAAAACTATTTTTTTTTCATTGATTTGAAATTTCAGTTTTCTATGTTTTTTAGTTGTATTTGATAGTTCATTTTATAATTTAATTTCAGCATAATGAATGGATTTTTTTTCTATATGTATATTTATTTTCATTATTGATAATTGTTGGACAATCAGATTGAATAGCAAGGTTAGTTGTGATTAACTTTGTACATTCATTGGAAAGTTTGAAATATTCGATTTTGAACAGCTCTAATTTAAGTAATTTTTAGGCGTTTTTGATGAAATTGGCCGATACTTCATGAAAATCCATGATAATGTAGTAACACTTTTTCATAAGATGTTCACTAAACAGTTTATTAACTAGCAACACGTGTGTCACGATACAATAACTTTTGAGGCGTATATACATTGTATTCAATATATTGAATTGAATACGCGTGTAGAAACTATAATAATAATAATGATAAAATGGTTAAGACTTTTGTGGCTCAACCAACCTAACGAGTTTAACATATGTATAAAATTTTGGAAAGAGTTTGGTACATTATAAAATTATTCTCATTGCACAATTTTGCAGTCTCTGAAATTGAGAATTCTTATTTTGATTCAGCATATATGTATTATCGTAGAACAATTGGTGAAATTGGGTAAAGTGTTATAATTTATAGCTTTTGAAATTTTTGTTAAATACATTGAACATATGTAATGGATCCCAATTATTGTTAATAATTTTTGATAATACAACTTGTACGCTCTGGAATCCAATTTCCAGTCTATAATTACTCCTAAATATTCAAATGTGTTTACTAATCTCTCATTATTTATTTTCATGTAATATTGGCGTTACATAAACCTTCTATACCTTACTCATTTCCCATTAAAGTGAATTTGGTTTTATAAATTTATTTTCAGTCTATGTATATTTTCCACTGACTCATTAATTACCACAACCACATACTCATAGGAGAAATTTTCTCATAAGGCAAAGGAAGTAGATCCTGATTCCGTTCAATGTGATAGAGATGTTATGATAAATATCATGCATGCATATTCAAAAAATTGGCAACTTGCTTTTGTTTATTGAATTCGAAACAGCTATGTCAATTGATCTATTCAAGTGATATGCTCCATTCAAGTGATGATTCAGCTCCAAACGTTCTAAATCGTTCCAGCATCAGGAACCATTTCATTTGGGAATAGCTCTTGATACAGTCGCCTGGCTTCATATGCTTTCCCATCAGCAAGCTCATACAAGAAATGCATGTCGGTATTTGTAAAATTCACCATGTTTTTTTTAATAAACATGGTGATATGAATCTCTTCCTTTTCAGTGGAAGAGCTTCATGGATCAAGAGCCGAATCGATCCCTCTACGAAACCCTTCATCACTTGGAAGGATCAATTGCAGCTTGAGAAATGGTTCTGATGCAGATTATGTGGAACACGTTCTTCCTTGCGAATCTGTTGGCAGTTATCCTGAAAATCTTGCGAAAAAAATTGGATTAGATGATTTAGGAAACAGTTGCTACATGAATAGCATTTTACAAGTGTTGTTCATGACGAAGAATTTCAAAAACGATGTTTAAACGATGAACGAGAATGTTTCCTACTCATTCACCAAACTCAAACACCTGTTCATGCAGCTGAAGTTTCGTGAGAATGTATCATCTTTCTCACCAAACAATTTCCTAGAGTCCACTAGATACTCGTTAGGATAACAAGAGGATTGTTCCGAATGGGCTTGTTTCATGCTATTGAAAATGATACTGGTTTGCTTATAGACTGAGTATATTATACTTATCAAGCCTAATCGGTCCCAAAATCTCTTTATATTTTCAGAAAAAAGAATAATTCGAAAAGCAAGAATTTTAATTTGCCGCGTGTCTGTTGACCAATAAAATTGATCGTGGATAGAGCGGAGTTGCCAAGTGTATTGGTTTTTAATATCCAATCACAGATCTGATGATCCAATTGGCAGACGCCATTTTTGTGGTTATTGTTGTCAACTCGGTGTGAATACAATTACAGAAAGTTTTTTTTTTGTTAAAGGTAGGTCTCGGCGGGTACCTATTTTGCTGCATATTCCGTGTCATTAGTTTACATTCCGAAAAATATATTTTCAGGTTATTTTTGGATTGACCTACCGTTTCAATTTTTCATTCTTCATTTCGGTACCAAAGTATTGCAAATTTTTCAAGTAAAATTCATCGATCGTTTCAAAATCGACTCTTGGTAAGTTGTCGGGAGTCAGCTTTAACAAAACTAGGCTCGAGATTCATTTGAAATTATTTTAACAAAAATACGAAGTTTGTGGAAACCATTGTCATTAGAAAGAGCACTCGAAAACCATTTGAAAATACAGCTCGTTTAATTCTATTTAGAATCATATTTAGATATAACTTGTACTATATCAGTTATCAAGGCAAATATTATTGTCCATTTTTATGCTTAATTCGTGGATTCGAGCGATCTTATTATTGTGTATTTATTTGTGTGTTGGCTTTATTCTAAAAAAAATTTATGAATAATTACAGAAAATTTTAATTGACCGTTCATGTTCTCAGGAAAATGGAGTACCCATATCACAATTTATTGGTTTATTCGGCATTGAAAATTTATGTCATATCGGATCCATTCTGGTTGTTTTTGCAACATTGAGTTTCAACTTTTTCTTAACTGACAGCTCGCGTAGGAACAATTCGTTTTATCATCGAGTTTAGTTAGTGTATGTTTTGAAAGTGTTTTAGAGATATATTTGAATATTAATATGGTGCATTCTTGTGCTGATTTTAATTGTGCGGAAAGGCACAAGAAAACAGAAAGCGCATTGGTTCATAAGTGAGTTATTTCATATGAGTTTAGGTTCCCAAAGGATAAAATATGAGAAAAAAGTGGGTGAAAGTATTGAAAAGAAAGAACTACAATCCTTCTACTCTTCCAAGACTTTATAGAAATCATTTAAAAAGTGACTATAAATGAACGAAAACAAAAATATTGAATTTGATGACAGTTTTTTATTTCAACTTCAAGTATTCTCCATAGAAAGTATTATGTGGAGTTAATCCTGTTACTGAAAGTATGAAACAAAATTAATTAAATTTTATCACATGATTAATGGTATTATTACCTCAGAAGCTTTTGTTGGATCAGTTCGAGTACAATCAATTCTGTCTATACTTGACCTCATTCAACCTTCCTCTCAAGTTTTGGAAGATTCAACAGATTACCCAAGCGAGCCTATAACGCTTGAATTTAGTAGCTATATTAGAAAGAGGTATGTATGTAGGAATCGTTTTTTTTATAATAAACTGCAGTAGTACAGGTTAAGGATTGTAGAATAAATTGAATATTTGAAATTATTATTTAATCAAGTTTGCTATATGTTTTTGATTTTATAACTGTATATTATTAAATAAGGCATAAAATCATAGTTTAGGTAAATATTTTGTGATCTATCGACTTTGTGTACTGATTTTAGATATAGAACTTATTTGCAACCATGATTTTTCGTGTACATTTTATTCCATGTGGAGAATTTTCCATTAATTGAAACGTTAACGGGTTCATATACACTTCCATAATTAAATTGATAATTATAGGCTTCGTAAATTTTACGATTTGGCAATGTTGATTATTTCTATTGTTCCTATTGGTCAATCGAACAAGAAGCGGGAATAGGGGCATGACTTCATCACCCTACCACATTCGATTTTTAATAATTAATTACGGAAAAACTACGGTATTTAGAGAGAGGAAACAAAGTGCACTGTTTTTTAATTTAAAATTTCTATCAAGTGAACTATAAACAAAAAATTATGAAACAAGCCCATTCTTGGAGTTCTTGTTGAATACTCTTCGTGAGCAGGAAAATAGCAGAATCAATACCCCTGACTGCTCTGTATTGAATGATTCCTTACAGTATGTCTTGTCTTGTAGATCTCTTGCTGGAAAAATCCTCACTAGTTTACTTTGTAGTACATGATTAAGAGGTAGCTTAAACGTACTTATGTGATTTTCTAGCGGTTCCTGATATGACTGATAACCAGTCCGTGCAAAGCTTATTGTTGAATCATCTGAAAATAGAACTTTTAACGGTTGATGATCAACTGTTTAACCGAATATGCGCCAAACAAACTGATTATTATAATACAACAAGTATATCTGAGGCACCAGTCAATCTAATAATAACACTAATGATCGTGACTCTACCTCTGACGGAAGCACCAAACTCTTACGCAGGTTCGAAATAGATGAATATTTCAATTTAGCAGACCACTATTATAATCCCCATGCAGTCATTGTTCACTGTGGTTCTGGCGTTGAATCTGGTCATTATTACGCATTGGTTAAAGACGAAATGGAGGGGTTTAAGTTTGACAATAGTGGTGTCACTAAATATTCTTGCAATATTTTGAATTAATGGGAGCCTCTGGAGACACCCTACATTTTATTATATGAAATGAGGACATTGATAGATCAAGATCTTCTGATGATGTGGTGCTACAGGTTTTTCCGGGTTTTCCTGCAGCCGAAAAAGCAAATGCGCCACTGGCATCAATGAAGTCGCCCTGGAACACCAATTATTTTTTTTGTTTCGTAATTTCATGATTTGTATTATTTTCTCGATGAGTAAAAACAGTTGAAATTTTCATTTATGTGAAATATTATCATGTTTTGATTTGCGCCCGATGGTGAGGTAGCTGACTAGGGTGACATATACTACATCTTGAAATGGATTTATTCACTAAAGTGTCTCATGATTACATTACAAATTATACAAATACTTCAACACATTCAATAAGATTTGTATATTTACTAAGAGTGACAGTTGCTACTTCACACATGTCAAATGATTTAATGTAATTTAAGTTTAATGATACACTAGGTCATTTTTATTAAAAGTTTTTGTGGAATCTTAACAGTTATGGAATATTTTTCTGGGTTTAAGAAAACCACTCACTTCATAGCGAAATTTACCTAAATTATTCGTTGAATTCCTTTTCCATTTGAGTCTCTGTATAATCAAAATCTGTTCTTCACTGTTTCCTGTTAAATGTTTTCTTCCTTCTCGTTTCTCCATAAACTCCTTTCTATTAATGTTATTATTCTGTAGTTGCTTTTATAAGTATTCAATCTTGTTTGTTACTTTTATTTCTTTCCTTTCTCTCCTAGCTTATTATTTACATGGTTCACATATTTCAACTATTTAACTTTGATTTATCATTACTAACAGACTGTGAAGTTAATAATTAACATATAGTGGAATAAGTTTTCATGAAAGCATGTATACAGCTACTAGACTGAGTTATGGCAGGTGAGAGAAATCGTATCTGCGTAAAATTTGGATCGGTGTATGACAAAGAAAGTATTAGGAAAAAAGGAATAGAAACTTTTGTTTGCAATTTTTTGTAGAACGGATTAAGGGGTAAACAATAAATGGATATTAAAATGCCATTTGGGTTCTTGTAGATATATAAAAATCAGTTCAAAGTTCAAGATTTTCAACTTTTAGGACTATAATTAAGGCAAAGTCTCCACTGTTTTCGATTACAGATATTTTTTCTTCTTCTCAGTGTAATAGTCTTGAAATTTAGGTTGATTCATATTAGGGTAGTAGTTTAGGGCAGTCTACTATCCTAGTGTGCTAACTCCACAATATCCAATTCTTGTTAGGGTACGTATATTTTGCTTTTTCTGACATAAAGTCATTTTCATTGACATATCTGACCTTTACGCATATTGGTTTGGTTTCACTCAATAAAAATATTCTCGGGCAGTCAAGCGGCTTTGGAAGCTCTTGGCTCCTACCGAGCAACGTCTAAATTGGTAGCAAACTGCCAAAAAAAGACTCTCCTCGAAAGGAAGACTACAGATTGTCTCTGATCTGGATTCCTGGCCATACTGGCCTGGAAGGCAATGAAGCTGCTGACTGTCTTGCAAAGAAGGGTGCTGCAAGCGGCTTCATTGGACCAGAACCTGTCATTGGCATCGCTGTGGGCTTTGCCAAACAAACACTTAACACCTGGATGGCAAGAAGAGTTATGGACTTCTGGCAGAATCTTCCAGGATTGGCTCACTCCAAGGCGTTTATTCACCCTTCGAAGCTTGATTCCAAACAGTTGTTAGACTACAGTAGGGATGAACTACGATGTCTAACAGGCCTTCTTACAGGTCACTGTCATTTGAATCATCACATGCAGAGACTTGGACTGTCGGAAGACAGTGTGTGTGTCGCCTCTGTCTGGAAAATGATGAAACTGCAGAGCATATACTTTGTGCCTGCCTCGCTGAGGACCGAATCAGGTTTTTTGAGTTCGGCAGATCCGTACCCTCACCATCTGACCTGGAAGACCACTCACCATACAAACTAATCGGCTTCGTTAAGAAGCTGGGTTTATTTGGCTCGGCCAAATGGGTTGAAGTGGAGGGTCGAATAGACCCACTCACTTTAGACCTACCTACCTACCCAGTGGGTCTTGGCGACTTTTAATGATGAAATGAAATTTTAAATTGCAGTGAATGTTCAATTTCCAGAATTGTTTTTTTTTACAATTGTTTGTGATATTTTCATTCATCATTTATTTATTCAGATTTGATTTTCCCAACTATTTAATTGTAGCTTCCTCCTATATACATGATTCTGAAGTTTTTGAATGATAGTTCTATTTTGACTTCCACTTCGATCATGTCGATATCTTACTGCCAATAAACCTAATAAATAACTTTGAAAATAAATATTTTTCAATACAATAGTTCAACAAATATCAGTTTTGAAGATTGAAAAAATTGAATTCTGTCAAATTTACTCAAGTTGGCAAAGTGTAATATTTTTAACGTTTTCAAAAAAAACTTTATTGTGAGATTTTCACGTTAGTTATGGATTTTCTTGAAGTATCGGCCAATTCCATCATATATTGTAATATTTCTAGGAAGTTTTTGTTGTAGTACCGTGTTTTTGAGTTAATGACACAGCTATGGTGCTGAAGACGATTTTTAATTTATTTTAGGATGGTAACCCACCTGGAGAGGGTAGAGTGATTGGAGAATTAGGTGATGATGGTTGGGTAAGAGTGGAATGGGGCAATGGTACCACAAACAGTTACAGAATGGGCATTGAAGGAAGATATGACCTCAACTTGGCCTCACCTCCTTCTCCAGTGACATCTGAAACTGAAACTGAGGAATCTAGTGATCATGGTGAGAAAAAATGAATGAAATGCCATAATATTTCTGATTATTCCTACTATTGATTTCATGTCCCTTGAACTATAATAAATGTTTCAGGGTCTCAACTAATCAGGGATAATCAGCTTATTAAGCTACTTCGAGATTTAAGCATAAACTTTCTCAGAAATGTCGCCATTAGTGCAGGATTTTCAAAAAATAATCTGCACCCAAATACAGTTCATGGCCTAAGTAGTTTGTTCTGCAATACATTGAACTCCAATTATTCAGAATGGATGAATTTAACATTGGTTAGGAGTATTTGTCAAACCCAGCAACTTTGCAGAGCATTTAGTACTAAACCTTGGATAAAAATCCTATTACGCTTTTTAGCACCTTCCAATAATGTGAACGGTAATGAGCTGAACTTGCCGAAACAGGTACTATTCTCAATTAATTCTCATTAGTTATCCTTATTTATTCATATTTTTCAGGTTCTAACTATACGCTTAATGCAAACAGTCTTACAGTCTTGGGATATGGATAATCCTGAAATTCCTCAACTGCTCGAAAATTTACTAAACATACTGGGTAAAATAGTTTTAACATGTTCATATGATACTGGTAATAAGCCACTCCCCACTAGTAAGTAATTGGTGCTGTTAACTCAGTCTCATAGCAGTACAGTTGCCCAAGAGATAATAAATCTACTCAGGACTCTCCACGGATTATTAGGCTGGAATCAAATTCTTAATGCTATTTTAATACAGAAATTCAATTTAGCAGCATACTTTCTAAGTGATACTTGTTTAACAACTATGATGAATGACGGACCTATATCTGATCAGCAACATTATATGGTAGTTGCTTGTTTAAATGTTATAGGCGCATGGGATATCCGACCTAGGATTGGAGCAGTTGTTGAAATTGACAGCTGTCAGGGTACTGTCATCAGAGTAACTCCAAAAGGAAAACTTTGTGTGCAAATGCATGAAACGGGAGAGATAAAGAAAGTACCAATCAATAATTTGAAGCTTCTGGAGTCAACAAATTTTGATTTTGATAAAATGTTACTTGGAGATAGTTTCATAAAAACATGGGCAAATTTATTGTTACTTAGGCATTCACTGAATAATCATGATCGCAAAACATATCATGGTAAGTTGAACTACTCATTTAAATTAAATTTGTACTCATACTATACCATTTCAAAATGGGAATGTTCAGTTATAGTGTGAAAAACGATAAAAAAATATTCAGTACTATTTTTCGACCAAATCAATTCAATTCATGTTAATACACGGCCAATATATGGTCAAAAATGAATTTTTCATGATGGGGTTAATTTATATAATGAATTTCCTAACGATATCAAAAAATTGAATTGCACGAAATCTAAAACATTTGGAGGAACATTTTTCAACATCTCAAGAAAATGCTTAAAAGGGACAAATTTTGATCACCCTGTACATGAACAAAACATATAAAAGATCTGTCTGAATAGATAAGAAGGACAATAAATTTGGTAAGTGGTATTTCATTTGAGCAAGAATCCACCGGAGGTGTTGAGAAAAATTCCTAATATTGTGACATTCATGAGTCAATGTGATACAAGAAATATCTCTTGATATAAATTGAAGATTTTTATATTAAAAATAGCTCAAAATAGCTCGAATATATAAAACTGATTCCTGAATCATTTAGTTGATGATAAAACTGTTGTTGGTCATAAAAACGGAAAATTTATCTAAAATTTTTATTATATTGGGATTGGCATTTTTCACAACAAACTCAACATATTTGTCCAAATGGGAGGAATAAAAAACTATCCAAAAAATTTGGAAACGTAAACAAAATGGAAGCTGAAAAAACATCGGAGGAAGAGAGTGGATATTTGTCTTTAAAATATCCTGTAAGTGGAAAACTGACTCAAGAAAAATTAATGAAGTTCTCTGTTTGTTCTCAAGACCTCAACAATGCTGGTACATCCAACATACGTTATATAGACCTCCTTCAACATGTCAAAGTACTTTCTATTTACAGCTGAAGAAATTTTTAGGTGAGAGTAAGGAATTCGAAAAGGAAACCACTATTTTTATTGGTGATTCAAACATTAATATCCTTTCAGATTCAAAGAATGTTCGCGAATACTCTAATATAATGAATGCAAATGGTTTTTGAGTAGGTATAAGAATAAATTAACAACCATTCTGAATAAACCTAAAAACAAAAATAGTAAAATATCCAAAGAATTATGAAGTTGTATTAAAAAAAATATGTAATGAAACTTAAAATAATAACATTGAATACATCAAAATGACCAATGGCGTAACTACAACAGATCTGATATCAGAACCTTTAGTGCATGTAATAAATATGATTTTCAATGCTGCAATATGCCCTGATGCTTTCAAAATTGGAATAATTAAGCCCATTTACAAAAGTGGTGATAAGAATGAAATGAAGAATTAATGACCTATCACATTGATATCTAGTTTAGCAAAAATATTTGAAAAAACCTTGAGTTTAGAATTGAAAAATATTTAGATAAAATCCATTTTTTTCAAATATTCAATTTGGATTCAGGAAAAATAGTCCACACAGAATGCAATTTGTCACATAGTAAATCATGTGTATCAATCATTCAATGATGAAATACCAACTTTATCTGTTGGAAAAATTACACCAAACCGTTATTTTAACACCCCAGGAGGTCTACTCAAAATTAGTGGGAATATCGAAAAGCCTACGCGTTTAAGATGATAAATGAATTGAGATGCTATTTGATCATACCAAATTATACAACAATTGAATTTTGACCAAAAACTGATATTTTCGTTACTTCCAGGATTGAGAATTATAAAAATATTACGAATTATAATTGATTAGTGTGAAATAAGCCTTGAAAGAAGGATTACGGCAATACAAAAATTTCCATAACGAAAAAATACGAATTTTCATTGTGCTAGGGTACCTACCTACCTGTCGAATTTATTGGGTTGTCTGAATTATATTTTGAAGAAAGCGAAACAATTTACAAAAGAAGTAACGACAGGACCGTAATTTAAAACTGTTGTCACTGATGATGGTAGTTATTTTAAATGAAACGCTATGAAAATATCAAATGTGATATAACTTTGTATTGTGAATTCATTGCTTTATCAATATCTGTAATAAAAAAGACAGGTCCGTATTAAAAAAAAAGTTGATGGTGGCCATGTTGACACGAAAGGTTTTATCGAATATTTATTATTACATCGTCATAGTACACTTCGAATACAATAACATTTTCCTTTTCCATTTTTTGATATTCTCCGTAATAACAATTCCATTTGAAAAAAAAACGAAAAACAGCATTTTTGTTTTCCCCGTATAAATCGAGAAGGGCGAGAGTCCCCATAAATTTTCTTCGACCATTGTATTGTTTCCGATGACTCTCACCTTTTTTCCCATTTAATCGTCTTCGTATCTGTTACGATTTAAAATATAGCAATGTTAAAAGAAACGGCCTGTATATATATAGGATGTTTCAAATTTAATCATCACCATTGGAATCTCGGAAACTATGAGATATACGAAGATGGTTAAATTGAGGCGCATTTACCTGAATAACAATACAGCGTGACTCACGGTCGATGGTAGGTTAGACGTTTCTGGAAAACGCAAAGCATGATTTTTCTGAAAATTTCACCTTTCACATTTCCTTACCTGTTCTATCGATCTAAAATATTTTCAACATTGCGGCGTTGTCACTTCTATCAAAAAGTCCTAGCAATTATATTTTTTTAAATGGAACACCCCGTATATTAATAAATTTTTGGAATCGCTCTGGTATTTTAATACATTTTTGTTAATAATGTCCTATACCTATCTCTATCTGTCTTCGAGATAAAAAATAAATTGTGCTAAATATGGTCCAAAACATAGCCTTAATTGAAATTAAGTACATCAGTACTCTCAATTCATGAAAAGTTGATATTTTGATGATAGTTTGGACAAACTCGAAATATTCAAATAACACCAAGTAACCCTTTCGATGTTGATAATCATGAAATTTTTTTGAACGAATTATTCGATATTGGTATTAGAGGTAATGCATTTTTATAGTTTCAAAATTATTCACCGCAGGGATCTATATTAGGACCTTTATTCTTTTTCATTTATATAAATTCCATTTTGGAATTACATCTTTATGTAAAACTAATACTGTTTGATGATGATGCAACTTTGATCTATTTCAATGAAGATTCATCGCTACATAGTATGAAACAAAGCCGCAGCCTGTATATGTGTAGACTTAGATTTTTAAAACTACACTACGCAACGGATTTTGATGCGGTTTTTTTTCAATAGATAGAGTGATTCAAGACGAATGTTTATATGTATGTAACCTGCATAATATAGTAGAAACATACTGATAATTTAAGAGGTTTCTAATATGATATCGTAAATAAACACTTTTTTGCGCTTACATTGCAAATGCTGGCTGAACCATACGAGATAGATAAAAAATTAAATTTGAATTTTAAAAAATCGTTTATGTTTATTGATGGAAAGCCCATGTAAAACAACAACTTCCAAATTAGTGTTAGGACACAACAAAATTGAAAGGTCCACTAGTGTTCAAGTTTTTAGGTGGAATATCCAAATCAATGTAATTCAAAAAATGTTACTTCCAATCATTGGAATTCTATATAAAATAAGAAACTATTTTTTTAAGCATCTGAAGCTATTTTACTTCTAGCTCATTCATTCAAAACTACAGTATTCAATTAGTATATGGGAAACTGTTCATGCTTCAAATAAAACTTTGAAGCCATTAAGGAGTTTCCAAAATAAAACCGTTAAATACTTTTTTCATCTACCTTCCTTAGAACCAACTGAAAACTTTTTGAACCAAAGTGTTTACTCGATATCATTTTATTTATAAATTGAAAGTATGCACCTTTCTGCAGTCTGTTATAAAGAATAAAAA